GCGCTACGGACGGCGGGAAAGTAGTTCGGCTGCCCGATGACGTTTTACGTATTATAGGAGTTATTTTTACCGTTGTTTACGGATACTGCCACAATTTTTATAGGAATCATAACTATAGGAAACGGTTTTATAGGGGGATCTACTGTACTGCCACAATTTTTATAGGAATCATAACTATAGGAAACGGTTTTATAGGGGAATCTACTGTACATCCAATCTACCAACGTAAACAAACTACATCGACTAACTCATTAAACATAGAGCCATACACCAACCAAAGCCGGCTTTGGTTGGTGTATGGCTCTATCTACCAATGTGTTTGCTAGTGAACTTCTCTGTTGTAACTGGGCTAAAAACTAAAATACATCTCTATTTGGTAGACCATTATAAGGATCATTTTTGGGTAGCATAAAAAAAATTTATTTTGTAAGCAAATAAGAATAGTAGGATATTTTAAAACAGAGAAAAATTTGACATTATTTTTCAATTAAAATTCCATCAGTGTCATTGCTTTTTCAGAATTTTATAAATTTATTTAAAATTATTGTAAATTCTCTGATAGACATCACTATCTATTGATAAATTTATTTATAGTGATAAATTGTTGGAATATTTAAATAAGCATCTATTCACTGATTTCATTAAGAGGTTAACTTTGTTATAATTAACTGGATTGAATTTTTATTTATTCACTTTTTTAATTCCAAAATTTTTTATCTTACAATACAGTGGTGCAGGATCAATGAGTGGGATGTCAGGTTATGGCATTTCTCATAATTCTAGGAATTTCATTTCTCAAAATTTATTAGGGGGGAGTTTACAGAATACCTTTTCATCGAGTCCTGGTAAGAGAAATAGATTTTTAATACATTGAATATAAATTGTTATTCTTTTAACAGATTATCTTATTCCAGCTCTAGATCTATCAGAGTTTCCATCACTTACCAATAGAAGTACTCAGGATACAAATTCCAATCCTTCACTTCCTCCTAATCCTATGGCAGGGAGACCTCAGTATGGTGTGTACAGTTCTTTTAATTAAATTTTCTTTTCTTCAAAAATAAAAATAATAATAAATCTTTTGTAGTTGGGATGGTGAAACAACCCACCAATGAGTCAAATGAGTTTCAGATTCATAGTGAAGATTTTCCTGCATTACCAGGATCTCAGAGTAAGATTTACCATATTATTGTTATTTTTATATTATGTTTTTATTTAATTTGTTTTTAAATTTTCAGATCAAGACAATAGTCAAGAAGCTCTTAACAAATCTGTAAGTTTAGTTTTTTAAAAATGCATAAAAATCAAAATTCAGAAATTAAAACTTTATTTTAATTTAGTCCTGTGGAATATCTCTGGAAGCGACAAAGGAGGGAAGTCGTTTTCTTGAGAAATCTGCCACTCAGTGTCAAAAAAGAGGAATCCAAACATCTAAAGAAGGTAGTTTAGTACTTGGATTATTATAATTATATTGTATAGATTTTAATTAGTGTAAAATTATTTTAGATTGATAATGAAATAACTATTACTGAGCAATTGAAATTAGTTATTTTGTCCAATACTGTATCAGTCAAAATAACATTCTCTCTCCGTGCAATAATCAGTTGTAAATTTTATATTAATATAATATAATATAATATATACATATCAGATGGTCCATTTATAATGCCCCTAACAAATATCTTGTAAAATGTGCATTCAATTAAAAATTGATCATAATAAACATTATGTATTTTTGAAGAGCCTTTCCAATTTAATAAAAATTAAGCCACCCCTGCCCCTGAAAGGAGGATGGGGAAAACTTTTGAATTTCAAATGGAAACCCAAATGAAATTTTTTTCTATTTATGGATTTTTCATTAAAGCTTTAAAGAATAATAAAGTTTTATTTATAAGAATTTTTGGAAAAAATGTTAATTTCATAAGTCAAACATTTTCAAAAAGTATTTTTATTAAAGTATACTGCAAAACTGGATAAAATTGCAATAAAAGTAGCAACTAACACCCATAATCCAGCTAAAATGAACAAAATTGACAATAATATCCAAGTGGACTTTAATAATGCATGTCTCTTACATAACACATTGTTCCTGCACAACTCAAGTATCTTGAAAACCTTGATTTACAAAGTGACTAAGAAAGATTTCACCACTAATTTTAAGGACACATCTACAGTATTGCTTGCATGGAAAGCTATTTATGAACATTTATAATCTTATTAACATACTGATACTTTTTATTATTTCTTCTATACTAATTATAATTCCAAACAAATCATTTCTTACTGGTTGAAAGATAACAAGTTAAATAAAAATTGATTTACTCTAAAAATAATTACTTTTAAATTTTCTTAGACTTTGTTTATTTTTGAATACAACCCTTGTTCCTTTTTTATAAACGAAAATGTTTTACTGAATTGGGAAATGTTATTTTGTTGTTTCTAACAAAATAATATAAAAATAAAAAAAAGCCTAACGTTTGATAATATTCTTTATCATATCATATGTTACTGAAAATCACAAAAATATTTGATTCAAAGCATTTACATTTTGTATTAGCTGTATAAATATCAAAATTAAATAAAAATTATCTCAATAAGAAGTATAGTTATCTCATACAACAATGATGGACTGACAGCAATGTTTCACGCTGTTAATGATAATGTCAATGAGTTTCATAGGGAGCAACGCTCATTTTCTCATAAAGCAGTTCAAAATCCCTTTACGGTTTGTTGAAGGTAATAGAATGCAGCAACACACTTATCAAGAGTGTTTCAGATATAGTCAATGAAGTTGGGAGAGTGTGCTTACCACTCTATATGGGTGATGGTCTCTTCGAGGTATTGCAATACTAGGTGAGCTATGTGAGAGTGAACATTGTTGGCTTGCAGTATAGATGTATTTCCAATTGCAGTTACATACAAAGAGATATAAATTACATCTGTATCTCTGAGCAAATCAGGTTTTCCTGTGGCAGCATATGGAGCTCAATAAGTCCACCTAAAATGCCTTCCTGTACATATACACCATCTCCACTATGCATGTCCCTTTGTGGATATAAGAGGATATTAGGAATGATATCAGGTCATTTCAATAATTTGGCTATCAAATTACAAAATAGCTATCTTGCAATTTTTTTTTCATTGCCATACATGAATAATAGCCCACTGAGAAATAGCAAGTTTTATGCTCTTGAACATTTGCATAAACATATGCAAGTGCAACAAATAACAAATTGCCAATTACAAGTTAATTTACATTTAACTGTCAGCTTGTTAACCACAAAATTATATATGTTGAAGTTAGAAAATATTGAATTTGTACATTTAGAAGAAATAGTAAAATCCTGTAGTATAGGTAAAGTTCTGGAAGTTGATGTAAAGTTATTTCTTTTTTCTTTTTAACTTAAAGTAGAGAAAAGAATCTAAAATAGTGTATTCAGTTCAACACTCAGTACGCATTAAATGTAGGCATATAATATGATGAGTTAGGCTCAATACCATTGCCATAAAACAAATCATATCTTTTCATCATAGCTTGTTTTTATATAAAAGCCTAAAAATATTTTTTCATTATAATTTATTAAGAGTACAATAGCACTAGACACAAAAAGAAAGATGCAAAAACAAACATAATATAATAAATAAAAGAAATCAAAAAACTCTCTTAGAAAAAAGGCAACTGTCAAAAATAATAAACATAAATATAATTGAAAACAACCATATTATCAAAGTATAAATATGCCTGCTTCAGTTTAATATTTTATTTGATTTGAAAAGTTCACATAAAATTCTCATTATTTTTTATCTTAATTCTGAATCCAATATGTCAGTGTTTTTCAACCTTCTTGAATATGCGACCCCTTTACAAATTAAAAAGTTCTGGCGACCCCCACGGCCATATTAAAACTATGTCAGTGATTTTAAAAATTACTGTACATATTTAATTTTCTTTCTGTTGAGATTTAAATATCGATCAAAAAACCAATTGTATCGTAAAATAAACAGGCACAGTCTTCTCACTGAAATTGTAGTTTTTTTTATTGTAGTGTAGGACCTACAAACACTTGTCTTGTTCTTTTACCTGCGACCCCCCATGTATGGCTTTGTGACCCCCCCGGCGTCGCGACCCACAGGTTGAAAAACACTGCAATATGTCATTGTACATATTTGTATACATTTTCAATTAATGACACCATGCTTTTATAATTAATATAAACGTTCTGTTATGATTATATGATATGCCATTTTAAGTATCTTTTTATGTTAGTATTTTTACAATTTAAATTATATAATAATATATTATTTCCAAGAATATAATAATGCATATTTGGGAAATTAGAATGTAATTTACAACAATAACAATAAAACTTAACTAGTTCTTGAAAAACTTTTATTAGGCAAAAGCAGATATAGTAAACTTAAAACTATATGAAATAAAAATAAAGTTTCTTTTGTAGAGTTTGTAAATTCATTGGATACAATTTCAAGAAAACTTTCTTTTTTTCGGAATGTTTTGCAATAGTGCATATTTGCAACAGATGTTTGCTAATAATTTCTAAATTTTATTTTGTTAAGCTGTACAACAAGTTTAATAATTGATACTTATCATTTCAGGAAGGGTGACGAATATTCCTGGAGGAATGGTGATGGATCAATTTGGAATGGTGGGTTTGTTGACGTTTATTCGTGTGGCGGAAACTGATCCAAATCTAGTGTCTCTAGCTCTAGGGAGTGACTTAACAACATTAGGGCTCAATCTTAACACTCCAGAGTAATTTCATATCCAGTTTTTAACATATGCACTTTAATTTTTCTATTTACTTAGATTTTTTTTATGCATATTTAATAGAAGCCTTTATCCAAATTTTGGAGGACCATGGTCTGAACAGCCTTGTAGGCCTCAAGACATAGGTAAGCTAAGTTGTGATTGGAATTATTATTATTTTTTTGTTGATTATTATTATTTAGTTATGATTTTCTTACTTTTCTAGATTTTCATGTGCCATCGGAATATCTGGTCAACCAGAGCATAAAAGAGAAATTAGCTCCAATCAAGCTAAATCGGTATGGTGAAGATCTCCTCTTTTTTTTATTTTATATGTTCAGTGGTGATATTCTTCAGTTGGCAGCAGCAGCAGAATTGTAAGTGGAAATGACAGCTGTCTGTTTTAGTGCATGTGTAACTCATGTTCAATCTGACTGAACTCTTTGCCTCATTCAGGTACAACCGGGACTGGAGGTACCATAAAGATGAAAGAGTGTGGATCACCCGTGCTCCGGGTATGGTGCCTACAGAAAAGACCAGCACGTACGAAAGGGGTACTTACTACTTTTTTGATGCAGGAAATTGGAGAAAAGTGGCCAAAGAATTTCATCTGGATTATGATCGGTTAGAAGAACGTCCCCACATGCCTCAAACTCTACACTACAATCCTGCCCAATCAATGATGGCATAGGACAAGAAGGATCGTTAGTCTTGCAGTGATTTTTGTCATTTTGCATTTGGTTCTACTGCTGCCGGATGGATCCAGCTTGTTTTTTCTTTATGAAAGAAATCAACACCAAAAGAGGAAAACTACATTTGGTAACAAAAGTGCAAATAATTATCTGTATTGTAAGATTCTTTTGCACTATCTGACAAGAATATTCTTAATCCTATTCTGAGAAGCTTTAGTTCCCACAAATATTTTTTTTGGATACTTTATGTNAAAAAAGTTAGCCAAGGCTAGGATCAAACCTAGATCGCCCGTTTCAAGCGAGTTTGTTACAGAATCAGCCATTTTGCTGCACTGCCATAGTATAAAATTGACCAGTATATGAGCTGCAATTAAAACTTTAGAGCCCTTTTTCTCAAAATCTTCTGGCTAGTGCACTTTACAATTCTTCTGGGTGGACAACCTTGAGGTATACTACTATCCTGCAAAGTCTCATCCCGAAATGAATTTCTGAGACTGTAATGTCCCCTTGTAAGTATAAGAAACTTGTTTTTAGGGGCATTGCCACTGAGAAAGAAAAATACATCAGTCATGCATGTTACTGAACATGAAAAAAACACACTAGCTCTAAAGAAGCAGTGTTCATTCAGTACAATACAGATTACACATAGCTTAACTGAATTATACTGCATGGTTGATCTCCCAAGATGTAGTAACATGCATGGCTGCACTTCCCTTTGCCTCAATTTCTAGCCAAGCTCCTAGAGGTTCACCACCTGTCCAAACAAATTCTGATTCTCAAAATACTAGCATGCCAGATTATCATCTTACAATTCCTGATTATCTGCTGCTTTTCAGGGAGTGCTGGATTACTGGATATTCTGGATTATTAGGAGAAAGATTAAGAACTTCTACTGTATTTGTAAAAATAAGCATTTTATTTATTAACTTTCAACAAATTTAAATATATATAAAAATGTTTTAATATAAAACAGAAAATTCAAATGGCTATTCTACAAATAGCAAATAATAACAAAGACAATTCTTTTTATCATAAGAACTAAAAGTAAATTCAAATATTTATTTATGATGGTAAAAGAATATCTGTAAGGGTAAAATTTACTTAATTGGGTTGCAATTTGAAAAAACTGTAGACCTATAAATTTCCACTGTCATCCATCTGTTGTCTGTCTTTCCTCAATATTGAGAATGGCATTAGATAAATGAAATTCAAGACCGGATATGGAAAAGCTTAGAGGCAGACGGCCTGATTAACTATATACAAATCTCTGATGAAAATCAGAAATCATGTTATTTCAATTTAAAAATTTTCTCTTGAAAGCAGTTAAATAGATAACCAGCACACTCCATTGCTAATGGAAAAGTATGATTTACCGGGACGAGACATTACTAATTTGAGGTGGAGAATATAAATTTTAAATAAATTAATTAAAAATATGATTAAAAATTGCAGCCTGGCATTGTGATGATGTCACAATAAATAATTTCTCATTCACAATTATGTACATTAACAATGTACATTAACAAATTCTATGATATAAATACAGTAGAGTCCCAAAAACTTGGCACTTGATAACTTGGCAGTTTGGATAACTCGGCCACACCCTGGCAGGGCGAAAAAACACTGCATGCAGACCCGTTCAGAGTTCCACATTCCTTTGTCTCGCATCACACTCCTACTCCTCCACCATGTGTCTGGCGTTGGCGTGTGCTCAGCCATTCAGTCTACCTGCAGCCTTTGCCAGGGTTAGTCGATTTCTTAACTCTGTTGCATAACTCGATATGAGTGACTGTGTGTACTGTATTGTTCAGAGCTGTTTCAAAATTTGTGGATGCTGGACAGTAATCAAATTCAAAATCACAAGTTCACAGTTCATAAAAAGTTTATAACAACAAATAAAACTTACATAAACCTACGATGTTCACAAGAGCAACAAATTACAATGTTTAAGATATTTACAAAGTAGGTTTCACACACAAAAAATAAATTAGAGTCCAAATAGTTCGTTAATCCTGAACAGGTCCATCGAAAAGACACCTTGCGACGTATTTCTGAGATGTAGTTAGATGTATAATTCTTCCAGCGTTTGTCAAAGAAATAGCAAGACAAAAATAACCTCCTTCAATAAGTTCGTTTGATCAACAACTCTCAGTTCCCTTAACCAAACTTAGGCGAACTTAACTCTCCTGCCTAAACTCAATCTTTTTATATGGATTGAAGATAGCACTGATTGACCAATCAGCGCTTCGTAGTCCTATTGAAGGTCTGTGCAATCGTCCAATGATCAATGGCATATCAGCAATTCTGTTTTCAAAACTAATGGTCGTTTCTCGATCAGAGTTTCTACGGTGACAACCTTTGCTTGTTTGAAAAAGAGGAAAAGCACAGGAACCGTACATCCAGATGATTCAATCCCAACAACAGTACTCTGCGATTGCATCTTCTGTTAAAAGAAAACAAGTGAACTTGTCTATGTATGGAGCAAAAGTTGTGGGCATTAAAGAGACTGGATAAGGGAGAAAGTATCATTGCAGTGGCTAAGGACTTGGGAGTTGGCAAAAGTACGATTGGAGACTGGAAGAAGAAGCAGATGGAAATTGAGTCGTGGTGTGTTAACAGAATATGTACAGAAACATTGAAAGAAAGGAAAAGTATGAAGGAAAGTGATTTTAATGAGCTAAGTGAAGCACTTTACATTTGGTTTCGCCAAACAAGAGAGAAGGGCATGCCAATTAGTGGGTCAATCTTGCAAGAGAAAGCCTTGAAATTTTATGAAGAATTTAAAAACGACAATGATCCTAAATTTGTCACAAGCACTGGCTGGCTTGATCGCTGGAAGAAACGCTATGGAGTTTGGCAGCTTAGTATTTGTGGGGAAAAACTATCTGGGGACACGGAAGGTATGTCTCAGTTTAAGGAAAACTTTCAAAAATTTATCGAAGCTGAAGGTTTGACTGGAGAGCAATTGTACAATTGTGATGAAACAGGGTTAAATTATAAACTGTTACCAGCGAAAAGCCTTGCTTTCAAGGAAGAACAGTCAGCCCCAGGTTTTGAAAGGAGCAAGGAGAGGGTAACAATCCTAGCATGCAGTAATGCAACAGGTGAACACAAATTAAAGCTTGATCTCATAGGAAAATCAAAGAAACCATGTGTGTTTAAGCACATTGAAATGGATAAATTTTCAGTTTGGTACCAAAACCAGTCACATGCCTGAATGAGCTGTGCAATTTTCAAACAATGGTTCCATGAAGTATTTGTTCCATTTATTGAGCAGTTTTTAAAATCTAAAAACCTGCCAAGGAAGGCTATTCTGATTTTGGACAACGCGTCTTTGCACCCAGACATCGAAGAGTTAAAAAATGGGGACATATGAGCAATGTTTTTACCATCCAATCACAGCGTTATGTCAGCCAATGGACCAAAAAGTTTTGGTTAGTCTCAAGAGAAGATATAGGCACAAGCTGTTATCCTCTCTTCTTTCTGCAAACAATGATGGTCAAGGTCTTATCCAGAACTTAAAGAAAACAAACCTATTGAATGTTGTAGGCTGGGTGGCAGACACCTGGAATGAGTTAGAGTCATTAACACTAGTTCGTTCCTGGCGAAAACTCCTTGATCATGAGGGAAATGAGTTTGTTGAACATGATGATGCAGAAAATGTAAACTTACTCGACCTCCTGAAAAGAGTTCCTGGATGTGCAGAAGTTGATGAATATGACATTGAACAGTGATTCCAGAATGATACCGAGCAAGACATCATGTCCGATGCAGAAATTACTGCTGCTGTCACAATTAATGAAAAAATGCCGGAAAATGATGAAGACATTGGTGTCGAGGACTCCACCATACAAGCTTCTAAAATATCACACAGTGAGGGACTAAAGGCTGTCGAAACTGCCCTTCAGTATTTGAACAACAAAGTGCGTCGGTAATGGATTTACTGTTCCTTCATCGTCTTCGTGATGAAGCAGCAAAATGCAGAGTGCAGTGCGGAAGACAACAGGACATTACGCATTTCTTTAAAAAAAATAGCCAGTTTTTGCAAAATCAGCTAGTTAATTTTCATTGTAGACAGTTTTTTGCCTCAGAGTATTTTTCTGAGGTCTGTCTTATCAGGTAAATTACTGTACACTGGGTATTCATTAATTTTCATTTTCATGTAGTAAAGGTTCTATGCCTTCATAAAGTATGTACTGTATTTTTCCTTTGTTTAAGAGTATTTGGGCAGTTTATTCTCTGTTGTATTCTCAAGCAAACAATATATACAAGTACAATACAGTATTTTCTCAGGAAACACTCATACTTATTCTTTTTTAACCCCATTCCCAATAACCCAGCATTTTCACAAACTCGGCCACCCTTCAGTCCACATTAGGCTGAGTTTTCGGGACTCTACTGTACATGGGTTAACATTACAGTTAAAAATTATGTTTAATTAATAACATTTTTCTAAGTTATTAACATTTACTTTGAAGAGAATTTTAAAATATTATTCAAAATTATTTTCTTAGAAAAATGTAATAAAAAACTAACAATATAGACAAAAGATAACATAATTACAATTTGTACAAGTCAAATAAGAAAAATGATTTAACTGAAAAATTCTTAATATGTTATAGAAGTTTTATATAAATTGCATAAAAGTATTTCCTTATATAATAAAACTTTTATATTAATATGAATTAAATTTTTATTTGTCAATTTCCCTATACATATATAGGATTGTTGTATTATATCCACTCAGCAGTGAGGGACAGATATATCTGTCCAGGGCGATCGTGTGGCAGTGGTGAGGGACGGATATTCACTAAATTCTTTTGGGGTATTGCCAAAAACTACCGCAAAAAAAATTCATATAAAAAATGAATTATGTAACAATAAAAATACTTTTCTTTACTAGACATAACTGTTTACTAAATCTTTTTCTGAAATGGTAATGAGAAAAAACATGTGGAAAAATACTTTAAAAATTTCCCATGTTTATTTTCCACTACTTTGGGATAGCACCATACCTGACTATCCCAATACTGAAAGGGTATATATGCTATGTTATATAATTTTATTACTACTTTGTTTTAACATTATTTCCATACTTCTATTATTTCATATTAATAAAGAAGGCAAAGTTTGCATATACTGTATATGATTTGTTTTTTACTGCAAGTTTGATATATGATATGTGATACTCGTATATATGCATCACATATAATATATATCACAGTTAAAATATTAATTAAACAAATAAACTATTAACTAAGACAGTTTCCAGAAAATTTTAAAACAATAACACACACAAAACTTCAACCATTCTTCCGAAATAGGCAAAGATATTATTTTTTTATTTAAATAAAAGGTTAATAAATAAATAAATCGAAAGATAAAAGTTGTGTTATTTTAATACAACTTTTATCTTTATTTATTTCAGTCTATCATTAAATATTTATTACAACAATAAAGAAGTATGGTTTTTGTATTTTTAATTATACTTGAATTTGTTGACTGCTTAATTTGGGTATCATTGCAGATTAGCTTGAGCATAAGATATCATTCATAAATAAAACTGATCTGCTGGATCTAATATAATAGAACCAGTAATTTGAAACTGAAGAAAATGAACTAATAAATAGTAACAATACAAATTTTAAACACAAATTCTTATAAATCAGAAAACTTATTTCTTTATTTTTTAATAAATATGAAAAATATAAATATGACTTTGCAAAGATAAAACTTTGCATTTTGTCCTCCCTTTTCACTGTTCACACCATCAGCAGTCCTTAAAAAATTCACAAAGTTTCAGAGATAACCTGATGCTTGTGGCATTAACACCAGGGGACACTTTACCTGTTTTACATGTTTTTGCAAAGGCAGTAGCCTCAAAAGAAAGGTCGTCTCCAAAACTTTGTGAATTTTTTAAGGACTGCTGATGATGTGAACAGCGAAAAAAAAAGGACAAAATGCAAAGTTTTATCTTTGTAAAGTCGTATTTATATTTTTTATAATTATTAAATGTGAATAATGCCAGCCATGTACTTGTATTCATTTTTTATTTATTTCTTTATGATAATGATAAGTATATAACAGAAAATATGTTAAATTTGAATTTAAAATTGCTTTCTTTATAACAGATAAAAAATCCATATAGTCAAAAGTAAAATATCTGTATAGTTATAATACAAGGTGTGACAATTAAATTCCAGGACTGGGGTAATAAAAGGACACAAAGAACATATAATGAAAAACCCTTCTAATATGTTTCAAAGTAATCTCCCTGGAGGGCAATGCACTTCTAGCAATGCTTGTATAAGTTCTTGAAACACTCGGCAAAGTCACTTCCGTTGACAGCTCTCAATTCCTTGGTCACATTGCGCTGTATGTCCTCCAGGTCACCGAATCTTCGTCCCTTCAATGTGATTTTGATTTTCGGAAACAAAAAATAGTCGCAAGGCAACAAATCTGGTGAGTATGGAGGGTGGTTCAACTCCACAATGCCACATTTGGCCAAAAACTCCTTGACAACAGTTGCAATGTGCGGGCAGGCATTGTCGTGCAGCAGTACCCAGCTTCCTCTTGCTGCAAACTGAAGCCTAACCCGAAGAGTTGCCTCCAGATTGATACCAGTTGTCTCCACTATCATCCGAATAGACATTCGACGGTCATATCACAGCAAGTCTGATTTTTTTCAATGTTTTCTAATGTTGGAACTGATTGAGGTTGGCCAGCGCAAGCATCGTCCTCAAGGTCTTCCTGACCATCCCTGAAACATGCAATCTGCTCGAAAACATGAGAGAAGGATAGGGCATCATTCCCATAAACTTGCTTGATGACGGTATACGTCTCTGTTGCACTTTTACCCAACTTGTAACAAAACTTAATGTTCGCTTTTTGTTCCATGACAAAAACGTGACAATACTTTCTCACAGCAATATGTGAATAGAGTACAGAAAAAGAATAAGTTACGAGACACGAACAAATCTTTGCAGACAAGTAGCCAGATGGTTGAACTATTATGACAAGCTTAGACAAGTTTCTGAAAACTGACACTGCAGCGCTACATGACCAGTCCTGGAAATAAATTGTCACACCTTGTATAAACTTTATAGATGAAATCTACAGAGAAAATTTATATTATAACCAGGCCACTACAATTTTTCATTATCATATATCAAAGCCAACTCACTTCAATAAATTATGCTTCATTAAGTTAAAATTTATACAATCTGAATTTTACTTCTAATTCTTTGCTAATTAGCTGATATTTAAAACACTCCTATTTTATATTTCAGTAATCATTGTTTGTTAAAATGTCAAAATATTTTTGATTGGGGAAAATACTATGTACTGTACTTTTTTACCATTTTTTAATGTATTTTATATTATTTTTTTACTTATTTCAGTTAATTTATTTACCTCAATGGTTTCCTCTCAATACAAACTTTCTGAAGAACATCTTTTAAAAATTTAGCTGGACTTTCTTGAGCAACATGCTGTACACGAAGACGTATTTTTATATATTCTATAAAGCGTTTCAAAAAGGCTATAAAATGTTCTGCCGTACGTATGTTGCCAGGGACAGCATCTGCAGAAAACATCACCACTTATTAAATTATATTTAATGTAATAAGATTTATTTTAATAAAAATATTTATTTAAAGTTCATTTCTAACAAATTTCATTTACATACTTACCCTGTAAAACTTCATCTGGTAAAACTAAAAGAAAAATCATTTGCTATTAATAAAATCATTATGTAGCTAATTCAAGATTTTTCACTCTTTATTAAATTAAATAGTGAAGCATGAATAATCTATGATAATAAATTTAACATATAATTTATTATACAAATTCAAATTAGTAAAAATTAAAATAACTAAAGTAAACTTATTATTGAAATTTATGTTTCTAAACTATCTTAATTATTAGTATTATATTTATTTTTAATTTGTAAATTTATGATATTATCTGATCTTATAATATGGAAATACTGTAGAATGCTTTCTTTAAAGAAATCTCTAGAAATTATTTAAATATCATTTCTTAAAATATTTCTTTTCATTTATATTTCACTATTTTAAACACATCTAATTTATTACAAAATAATTTCTGAGTATTCTGACTCCATGTTACTTCAGAAGTAAAAAGACAAATGCTACAAATTTTAGGAGTCAAGGCTTTATTGGGAATAATGTTTTTTGGGACCACTCTGTCCCATCTTCAGTCCCAAAGAACATTTTTTCCAGTAATGCTTTGACTCTTAAAATTTGCAGCATTTGTCTTATAACAAAATATATAGCATATTTACTATCTAAGCTTGGTTTCAAATTTAAAATAAAGTATTTCAAATGAATAGAATAAGCACTAATTATTACTAATAATGCAAAACTTCCTTACTTAATCTACTTGTGGGATGTAATCATTTAAAATTACATGATATGGTGAATATAGCAAGATCATTATTTCATCATATATTTATTGTTATTGCTTTCATATCAACTTGATCAACAAATAATGTACAATATATCAACCGTAAAATAAAACTATATATCCAAGCAATTTTAAGAGTAACATTAAATTTTATCTAGAATCAGTGACATATTTAAGACAGAAAATGAAATACTGTATAGCTCTCTTCATCATTTGTTTATCTACATGGTGTCCCAGATTTATGTAACACCTTTGAAATACATTTAAAATATGAACAAATAAAAGTAGAAAAACCAAATCATATATAGATCAGTTTAATGTCATTAACTTATTATCCTACAAAGGTTTCTGCATTCCAATGCATTGCTGGAAGTGTCCAGAAATGTGAGGCTCTGGACAGGTCTGAACCTCACTGAAATTTGTGTTAAAATCATTTATTTTTAAGGACAAAATTATCTTTTTTTGAGAAAAAAATAGAAATTAGAAATAGCTTTTCTTTATGAAAACAACACAAACTTTTAAACAATAGAACAATGGAAAAACTAAGATTGACTATCTCTGGATGGGAATTGAATTAAACTTCAATTTTGACCTCTCCCACACCCCCGAAAGGTTTCAAATTGTCACCAGGTGACGAGGAGAGAACAAATGGAAAGTGGAATTGGAGGAAAACGGATAAAACCTTAGAATTCAAGGACGTGACGGCTTCTTCTCCTGCAAGTTCCAAGTGGCAGATCTATTGTTGTATATGTGTCTCATACCCATCTTCATCTCCCAAACTCAGATTGACATCTTTCCATCAACGGAAGTTGAGCGCATCATCCAGGAGTCATCAAGACATCGATGGAATTGGTCATTTGTGAACCAGGGATACTCCTTCAAAATGGGACTATCTTGGAAAGGAGAGGAAGACCCAGAGGCCGCTGCTGATGTATTAATAGAAGTTCCAAGATCGTGGAAATATTGTAAGTTTCTTTCATGTCAAATAAACAGTTTCTTGTAACCATAGAGTCTGTCTCAGTGCCAATCGCCAACATACGACCCTTCACGACCATTCAACCCTCTTGACATTTTTGCACTTTGTCATCAACCTTACAGAAACAGGATATATTGCTTTTCCAAACATATAGGAATAAGTGTACATTCCCCACTGATCATAGCTTTCAAGGTCTCCACATTCCATGGCTTGTGCTTGTAAACCTGTTCCTTTAAATAATCCCAAAGATGATCAAATACAGGCTACAGGGGGCCATTTGATGTTTCCTCACCTTCTATTCAGCTTCCCAAGGAATACCATTCCAGCCATTGCCTGGTGGATACTATAAAGTGGGACTATCCTACATAAAGTGAATGGCATTGAAGTCTGAATTTTCTAGTTTTGATTCCTTGGTTCAGTCAAGTCTTGGTTTTATGTTTCTTATTTGAGGTCCATCTTTTATTTATAGATTGGAGAAGACTCAAATTCAGATTCATTAGATTGATTTTACATTTTAATCATTTAATGCTGAACCTGTTTTGAGATCTTTAGTAGACCACTGTTGGCTATAGGCTTAGCTGTGGTTATTTTTTGTTATTGGCTTAAGATTTTAGAGTTACCAGAATCAAATCTCAGGAGGTTGGTTTATAATAAATTAAAATTAATAAACACTTATTCTTTGGTCATAATTTGGCCTTCCTTGGTTGAGCATTTATTGTCTAATTTGTAATTTTCAATTGCTTATTATACTCAGTTTCCTGATAAAGGCTTTTTTAGCTGTTCTTCAGTCTTTAAAAGATAAATAATTGGCTCAAGATAGTTTCTATATAAAGCAGACGTACAGTTTCTTGGAAACTTCTGTATCCTCCATAAGGACACCTCAATGCTTGCAGTTGTCAAATTTAAATTATAAGACAAACCCTGATAATACAGTTGTGTCTTAATTAATTCATCTTTTTTTTTTAAAATAGTTACAGAATTGTGTGAACTGTGGGGGTAGAGCTCCAAGCTTGACCCCACTTCTTTGTCAGGGATGGTCTATGTGGTAACTGAGTAGGAGGGTGATAAGGTCGTGATAAGGCGAGGTCATGATAAGGTGTCAGTCGTACTTAAGGATGACACACACTTTTATATAAGAATAAATATTTAATTGACTATAAAGTTATACCAAACGAGTACAAATCAAAGGCTACAAAAAAAAAAAAAGGAATAATCCAAAAATACTTCTAAGTTGCAACAAGGATAGACAGTCGTTGATAAGTTGTCAAAATTCTGGACTTCTATAGGTCCCAATATCCTCTAAGTTAAACTAACCAAAATCTAGTCTATAACCAAGAGAGAGAGAATTAGAGTTCTCTAAAAAATTATCTCTTTAGCTGCGGCGATCAAGTTCTGAGAAGTCTTTATGTTCAGAGCATGGAGCAGGTGTCCAAATGGGCTCTAACCTGGTGTCTTCCCTTTGGTGATCACCCGAGGTATGGGTGCGATCTCTTTTTATACATGTCTTGAAGGGGGACTATCGAGGGAAGTTCTGATGCAATTCCATGTAAGTTTGATGTGCCCGGGGGTTGTTTATACTAATTGTCAGAAATCAAAACATTTCTGTAGTTTTATTACTTCTTCTATCCGGTATTGTCACCTTTTCTACCTCATAAATTTGATAACAGCTGTCAAACCAACTGAATTAATTGCTGGAGTTTGTCTTGCAACCTTAGTAATAATTGTTCATTTGGTGGGTCATCTGATCGGTTTTATCATTGTTAAAATCAGACGAAATAGGAAGTGTGTAGGTGGGTTTGGTTTGGACTCCACGGGTAGGTGACCTTTTTGGTTACCCTCTATTGTATAACAATTTTAGGTTTTTGTTAATTGGCTAGTTATTTTGTAAAATTTTAAAGAAGGTGGAAATGAATCATCTCCGGTTGCAAGGGGAGAACTTTATCCATTGTCCGAAATGTCTTTGAAAGTTTAGAAGGTCACTTCTCGATGCGACGCAGAAAGTTGAGGGGTCAAAAGGTCTAATTTCACCCTTCTGAAAACAGGAAACTGGAGGAAGAAGGGAAATAATGATGAGGGGGAAAAAATATTGAAGCTTTAAAATTCACAAAAGAGCTTAAATCTTCACAGAATTAATATAACAGCTTACTCCAATTAACTTTTCTATAACTTTTTTGAAAATGTTAACAATTATCTGATTTTATCTTGTGAATTTACTGAACATTTAAATATTTTTTTTGTCAACTGACTTTAAAATTACTTCTTAATATGATGATAATTTAAGTTCTGAACTTTATTTAAACTTTGTAAATATTTTGTTATTCATTAAATATCTTAAAATAGTTTTACTAATTTCAGGCTATACATAATTGTATCTAGATAATAAGAAATATCATATTGTAAATAACGTTTGTTGTTAAAAAAATGTATACTTGCTTATTGGAGAATAAATTCAATAAAAATAAAAACCATTCAAGTATCCAGCATAACTCTTTAATAAAATAAAAACGTTTTCAAACACATTAAGCGTTCATCATCAGTTATTTCTCTAATTTGAAACGGGAAGTTTGAAAAATTATGCAAATGAATTTCAAATAAACGGTTATGTAAAAAATTAAAAGGTAACATGTCATAAATGAAAGTGATACATACAAATTTCTGTATGTTTAATAAATAATAATAAAATAAAATATCTATCAAGGATTCTAAGCTTGATTAAGCCTCTTATATAGAACTATGCCAATTCATCACAAAAAGATTTCCAAGCAGATGAAAGCCCGTTGGCATCCCTATAGTTAATACACTGCGTGCTCTTCTGTGCCCTGTGGATTTCCAGCTTTTTGAGATATTAAAACAAACAGAAAGAAAAAGTGGTCATTGATTATATACCCTTCCTTAAACCAATTGTCAAGAGGGTTTCCAAAAATAAGAACTTACAAATAGTTTATCGATGTAATCCCACTATATACAGGATATTAAGTAATGAAAAGGGAGATTATGAATGTAACTCCTTAACAGGAATATACTCAATACCGCTAAGAGACCATAGATTCAACTCTAACTTAATATATATAGGCGCAATGTTGAGGAATTTGAAGAAAAGAATCAATGAGCATAAGCTTTCAGTAAACAAAACGATTGACAGTACAGTTCTTGCCACTTATGCTAAACAACAAGGCATTAGTGTCTTCTGGGACCAGGCCTCCATCATAAAAGCTACCAGATCTAGACATGCGGTAAAATATCTCGAAAAGCTGGAAATCCACAGGGCACAGAAGAGCACGCAGTGTATTAACTATAGGAATGCCAATGGGCTTTCGTACGCTTGGAAATCTTTTTGTGATGAATTGGCATAGTTCTATATAAAAGGCTTAATCAAGCTTAGGATCCTTGATAGATATTTTATTTTATTATTATTTATTAAACACACAGAAATTTGTATGTATCACTTTTGTTTATAACATATTACCTTTTAATTTTTTACATAACTGTTTATGATGATGAACGCTTAATGCGTTTAAAAACATTTTTATGTTATTAAAAAATTATGCTGGATACTAGAATGATTTTTATTTTTATTGTTTGTTAAGTATTTTGTACCTTCTTTGTAGAGGTGGAAGCCACATCAAACAGATGATGATTATGATGTTGATGACATTTCCAATTATTGTGTGAATATTTTACTTCGTAAAATGATGCTGTATGTCACAACAACTGTATTAATTTTTGATAGTTATCAAAAACTAAACATAAACTATAATTTCTCTTTAATAATTAATTTTAACATTGAATAGAATAGAATAAAATAAAATGCTACAAGTTTAAAATTATAAACTTTCTTTTATATTTATGTAATTCTAAGCATGTATTATTTAAAATGCAACCCTACTTGCTATACAAAATAATAATAATTTACAATAGACAAATGATAAGTAAGAAAATAACCTTTTCATGAATTAAAAATCACAAACTGAATTAATTGAAACTTATCAACAAAAGTTATTAAATTAATGTTGAAAATCTTACATTTATTGAGAAGTTGAGATAAAATATTTTAAATTTTTATAGCATAAATTAAGTATAAAATTAAATCATAGTTTGATAATCATATTATGATTTAGAAAAAAATTAAAACTTTAGTGTGTTTTTTAAATAAATTATTTAAAAATTACATCTATTTAAAAAAATCATTAAATATTTTAAGTGTATTTTTATATACATTATATATAATTATTATTTCAAAATCAAGACACTGAAGGTTATACAAACCAGGATTTGATAAAATAATATCAGTTTCTCTAGCAATATTTGCATCTCTCAGTCCTTCAACTAATCTCTGATATTCCTCCTGAAGTTTTTTTGCATCGTGCTCTTTCAGGCTTTGAAAAGATAAATACTATTTGGAGTATATATTATTTTTAAATATATGAAATAGTAAAAAAAAAATCATTAATTACAAGCCAATTTAAATATGCATTTTTTATATGAATGTTTCAAATAAAGAATTATATCTTTCTTTAATCACTTACACAATAATCATTAAATGCTAATTTTAACAATTGTTATAAAAATAAATAAATATATATTATTTGTTAAATTTAATATATATAATTAAATATGTATTATTTTATTTTAGTTAAATTAATAATCTTCTACATCATCATCTTATATAGAGTGTGTTCATAATTAAAGTTTACATTTCAAAAATATATAACTCTGGACTAATCAGCAGAATGACATTATATTTCACACAGAAACTTCTGTTGTGATGGAATTTATTTAGAAAACAAAAAGTTAGTTACAAAAATGTCCGCTAGACTTTAAGTGACACTGCAACACTTTAGTGAATAATTCAAAATGTCTCAAAAAACTTATGATACACAGTATATGTACTCTGTTACTCAACAGCATACTTGATATATTGGCCTCCAAAACTCTGAGTGCTGTCATTGAGCATGTGATTTGGCAATCTCATCTTGTTTCCAACAACAGAAGCCAGCATACTGATCATGCTGGTGCATGTGTACCAGTTAATAAGTTCATTACAAAAATTTTTGTAACTAACTTATTTTGTTTTCAAATAAAATTCCATCACCACAGAAGTCTCTATATGAAATGCAACATCATTCTGTTGATTAGTTCTTGAGTTATATCCTTTTGAAATGTGAACTTTAATTATTAACACACTGTACATTTATACATATTATACATATAATTTCAATATAAGGAATGTATCCTGATTTCAAATTAAACAAGATATACTTTTATGAAAGCTTTAATAATTTATTTCATTAATACATAGTATTAACTATTTTAATTTATTTTGCATCATACTTGGAACCATCGGTACTAATTTTTTTATGGAAATGTCTTCTACATGACCTGAAACATCATCATATCAAATTTAGTTGAATTTGCACTGCTAAGTATCTCTTGAGACAGCATTGAATAAGAGTAAATTAATTACAATCACCTGGTGTATACAATCTATTGTGTATAATTTTTTTATAAACCATTTTTTATCAATAGAAGCTAAAAATGCAATTGTTTTACTATCTGTACAATGTCTACAATATGTTACATCATCAACAGTAGGAAGCCAAATTCTAATAAGATATAGATTACAAGTTGTAATCTATTAGTTGACTTGTTCCACAAGCATGATATCAACCACATTCATTCATGACTTAATACTTACTTTTTGCCATGAAAATGTAAAATCAGAATAGGCAATTTTGAATTTCTCAATTTTATTCCTTTATGTGGTAATCAACAGGGATCTATTCTCAGTGGTCTTTTTTTCTCAACATATATTAACAAATTTCTTTGCCATCTTAAATCTTGCATTGTAACTTATGCCAGTGACATTAAATTGATGTTTTCTGATCTGAAAATTCTAGTCTGATAGTCGCTTGCTAAAAAATCTATTTGATTCTGCTAATCTCATGATTAATATTTAAATAACTGTGGTTATGTGTTTTGCCTTAATTCACAATCCTCCTTTACCTACTTTTTACATTGACTCCACTCCTGTTAATTATGTTATGTCATTCAACAACCTAGGAATAATCTTTGATACTAAACTTACTTTTAAAAATCATATTGATTAAAATAATTAAATCTTTGGCTATTAGACATGGAATATTATGGTGATTTTGTAAACCTATCTTGTCTAAAAGTGCATTAAGAGTTAATTTTTTTTACTAGTTTTCAGTCTTGCCCGTTTGGTCTATGGCAGCACCTTCCCTTTTGGATAAAATTGCTACAGCTCTTGAAAAAGTTTATTTATTTTTTAATAAATTATGCAATTTATCATAAACTAAGAATCCTAACTTTGCAAGGATTAGATTAGGTTTTCCTTTGTTTTTTGAGAGTATTAAATATTTTGATCACTTACTTTATTTTAAATTTTTTAATGGTTTTATTTATTATGATTGGCTATTCTTATATGTGCCTTCAAAAAATTTATGACCTTTCGTGTGTTCACTCCACTTTTTCATTTGAGTGAATCTCAAAGGTCCTTTTTTTTTTTTGTTGTATTTCTCGAAATTTAAATAATTTTGATAATTTTTTATTTTTTAATTTTTCTTGTTTTAAATTAAAATGTAAAAATGCATGATACAATTTTTTAATTTTATTAAATTGTTATTTCTTTTTTCCTTTATTTGTTATATTTATATTTGTAGGTTTGTTAACTTGGTGAAAAATATCAATTGTCCTTTGGGACTTTTCTTCTTATTTGTAAAAACAAATAAATAAAATAAATCTACACATTCACTTATGTAATTTTTTTCTTGTATATTTCAATGAGTTAAATTAAGTGTATAATTTTTTCATTATACTGTAAAGGCAATGATATAATAAATATGAGAAGTTTGTTTTACAATAATTATCTGAAAAAAATTTGAACAAAATTTTTATAAACATGTGACTTCACATAAGCAAGAAAAATGTGGTATTAGATTTTATTTTTTCACTGTTGAATTTTAACAAAATTAAAAAAAAACTTTAATTATATTATTATACCAGCATGAAAGTGGGTACAATTACTATTTGTAAAGTATTCAATATTTAGTTTCATTTGAATAAAATGCTTATATTAAAATTCCTTAATAAATAAACTCAATCCTGAAACAGACTAAAATTATTGTAATTTGCAATCATTCACATAATAACATAAGACATAAGTATGTTACATGTGCCAGCATCCAGTGGCAAGTTGTGAGAACTTGCTACCAAGAAAGCAGACAAACAGTTAACTGTGTATGCATAATGACTTAGCATGTAATGACCATTAGGTAACACAACCTACATGTTTCAATAGAAACTGGTAACAAAGTTTGTTTTATTATTGCTTCCTTTCCTTGATCATTTTCAAAAATATTGTTGCAGAAAATGATCACCATTCCAGAATTACTAATTACTGAAGTATACAGAAGATGCAATAGCTTTACTGAATATATAATTTTTAAATATAAATAACTATACATATTATAAAAGATTAAAATATTATGTTTTATACATTATATATACAAATTAATAGACATTAAATATGAAAAAATAAAGAACAAATTTGAAAATTTTAAAGTTAGAAGTCTTTCTTCTGATATAGAGTTTTCACAATTTGGTGTACATATAATATGAGGGTGAATAGCTTCTAATATGGTGAAGACTTTATTATGCAAGACTCAACAAAGTTTGAATAATACACCCTAGTCTTTTTTAAATAAACATCATGTTTTGAATGTTGTTTTCTGAGAAAATTTTTACAGCAAACATTTAATGAAACTATCTTGATACCTCTTTTATGAATATAATACTGTGTCACTGAACAGGAAAATGCTAGTGACATGATAGCATGCATACAGGAGCTTGCACCTATCCACAAAAGATACTGGTACATTAATGGAAAGTTAAAATGATCAATAAGTCTTACCATATGCTAATTTAAAAACATTTTATATTCATTTTTATAACCATTTTCAAACATTTTTATTAAATAGTTTTGCATTCTCTCATATTCAGCCATATTTTATTTGACATACATCCATTTTCTTAAAAATACATTTCTTGAAAGTCACAATTTTGTTATTGTAAAATTAACAATCAATTTCATTTACATACATGAAATTGAAGAATTCTATATTTTTCTAAAAAATTATATCATATTACAGATAAAACTTGCAAAAACAATGTAAAAATAAATATAATCTGAGACATGTTAAAATATAAAGCAAAATTTTTGGAATTTTGAATAACAACAATGTAAAACAATAAATGTTTTGTTTTCAAAGCATTTCTATTAATAATGTGGTCATGATCCTAATCCATTAATCCCAAATATTGTTTATATTTTTAATACACAATTTCTTTCATATTGAAAACTATTCTTTGAGAAAATGATATAGTTATAATTAGTAATAATGAGTTTAATTATAGAGACTATACAGCTGTCCCTTGCAGGACAATTTTAAAATTTCTTAAATTAAACTCCATTCATAATTAACTGATGTGACTGATGTAAAACAAACAAATTCAAACTTTGAAATATTTTGATAGAACTGTTATAAAAAACTGTAGAAGATTCCTAGAAAATTTTATGACAATCACTACAAGCATAAAAAACATAAAATCAGAGAAATTCAAAAATATTTCTTATACCTTTAAAAATTATGATAAATTTAAAATTTAAAAATGATGATTATCTCAATAAAGTTTACTTTCAATTTCTCCTTACTTTTTAATTGTCTTTTNATATCATATTACAGATAAAACTTGCAAAAACAATGTAAAAATAAATATAATCTGAGACATGTTAAAATATAAAGCAAAATTTTTGGAATTTTGAATAACAACAATGTAAAACAATAAATGTTTTGTTTTCAAAGCATTTCTATTAATAATGTGGTCATGATCCTAATCCATTAATCCCAAATATTGTTTATATTTTTAATACACAATTTCTTTCATATTGAAAACTATTCTTTGAGAAAATGATATAGTTATAATTAGTAATAATGAGTTTAATTATAGAGACTATACAGCTGTCCCTTGCAGGACAATTTTAAAATTTCTTAAATTAAACTCCATTCATAATTAACTGATGTGACTGATGTAAAACAAACAAATTCAAACTTTGAAATATTTTGATAGAACTGTTATAAAAAACTGTAGAAGATTCCTAGAAAATTTTATGACAATCACTACAAGCATAAAAAACATAAAATCAGAGAAATTCAAAAATATTTCTTATACCTTTAAAAATTATGATAAATTTAAAATTTAAAAATGATGATTATCTCAATAAAGTTTACTTTCAATTTCTCCTTACTTTTTAATTGTCTTTTCTAAAACTTGAATATTATTCTGAGATTTTTCAATAGTTCTCTTTGTAATATTTACACTCATGGATTCAATACAAACATTATCTGAAAAAATTTTATTCACAAAATAAATGAAAAAAAATTAAATAAGATAAATGGAAAAAATTAAGTGTATAATTAAAATGATATTTTCACAACTAAATATAGTCAATTTTTTTATCAAAGGAACAAGTTAATATAAAAATGGAATATGATACCTTAAAAATTCTTTTAGCAATGATAAGATAACACTATTTTTCATTTTTAAATTACATAATATAAAATGATTTGTAACTTTTAAATAGATATAACTTGTTAGAACTGTTTTAAGCAATGGTAGATCCTTATAAAATTTATGATAATCACTAATAAAAAATTATGTATAAAATTAAAATGATATTAACTGAATTTAAAGAGCTTAAATTTTCTTTAAAAATAAATCAAAATTTGTTTTTTAATTAATATTCATATCTCTATAAAAGTTTAATAAAAAAAAAATTCAAAAAATCTAGATCACTTCTATAACCTCATATAATTACAATTATTATTAAACTATTTTTGAAATGTTTCTTAAATGCACTAACTTAAATACAAAATATATTTAAAGAAAAAACTATTATTAGTTGTTAGTTCCAATAAAAATCTTTATTGTCATTAATCAATCCATACACACAGATTAATTTAATGTGGTTTGATAAAACAAAAAATTTTTTAAAAAATCTAAATCAAATTATATATATATTAAAATATGTCAATACTTCTATTTCAAAACTTTCTGAAAAATTTTCTTTATTTTAGGGTAAAACATTAATAATTAAATATTAAGTGATTTTGCTAGAGGTAGGTGTTAGGCATCATCTCTTGATAAATTTAATGATTATAAAGAAATTAATATTCAATTTTTATTTTAGAAAGTTCTAGAAGAAAAAACCAGCCCAGCACTGGACACAACTGCAAACTGTATGGATACACTGCCAGTTACACTACCCAAACCACTGTCCAATCTTCACCTCCAGAACTATTATGATTTAGATATAACCATACTGGTTATTCACAATGCCAAATAAAAATGAATTACATGTCCACTTAATATTACTTAATAATTACTTATTAAATAGTAGCCATATTATAGTACAATATAATCCAGATCATTTGGCCTTAATGAAAAATTAGGTTAATGGATGTTCATAAAGCACTAATTCTGATGAAATATTGCCAAATGAAAAGAATGTTACTCACATAATGTTTTGATTTATGTATACAATATTTTTAAAATTCCAAGATGTACTTTGATTTTGAAATCAAATTTCAAGATTATTTAATAAATGGAAAACTTAAAATAATCAATTTTATTAAGTTTTGTTAAATAACAAGTTAAAAGAACAATACAGATGTCATAAAAAGATAATGTTTGGCAGCTTTATTTTCATGCTCTTCTGTTTATACTATTACTTTTCTTTAAATGATGCATCATAATATCATCTTGAAACATTTTTCATGTATTAAAAAAGGAATTAAATTAAATTCTCATTACTAGTAATGCTCATTTCAACTAAAACAGCTGTTTATAATACAGCCAAAATATTTAATATTAGTGCAAAATTCATCTTATAATTATGAAAACCAAAAGAATTTCTAAGTATTATAATTAAAACATTCCTAAATTAATATAAAATTTGATAATTAATGAATTTAAATACACATATACATGAAAATAATAATATAGCATTATTTTGTTATAAAATTTTTAAATGATTTATCTAACTTTATCATGACATCTTTCAGCTCAGTTAGATAGAATTCTCAAAAAATACAAAAAACTGGATGTGAGGAATAACATAAAAACAACCTTATTTTCAAACATCTATTAATAGGTTGAAAATATTCATCTATATCTTAAAATTATTTGCTGGTTTGAAAATTGGATTGTTTTTTTATGTTAGAAGTACATGAAAATTTCTCATAATATTGATATAATATCATTATAAATGTAATTAAAAGAAATTAATAGTAGTTATGCCAATCTTTGACTGTCATAACAACTGAGAAGGCAAACTTATACATAATTTTTAAACTTCAAATTTAAATTGATTTTTTTCTATTTCATAATTTTTTTATGCATAAAAATTAAAAATTAATCAAATTGTTACATACCAATGTTATGAGCTTCATCAAATATGACCACAGAGTTTTTACTCATTTCTTTAGAAACAACATCAGCTATTTTTGGATCAAGCAGATAATGGTAACTATAGACTACTATATTTGCATATGTGATCTGAAAAAAAATATTAAAAAGTCAAATATGTATATATATAGGCATTCTGTACCAACCATAGAAGTTAAATTCTGAAAAACTGAAATCAGTAAAACTGCAATAACCAAAGGATAGATTCTATATGTAACAAGGACTTAGGAGAAAAAGGATTTAATTTTTAGGGGCATCAACAATGCTTCCAATCCTAATTTAAAATTCAAAAGTATGTTCAGTCACTAGATCAAAAGTTATAAAATGATTAGTATGGTTATATGAAAACTACGATTGGGAAAATCATGGTGGACCATATTACAGATAAAACTTGCAAAAACAATGTAAAAATAAATATAATCTGAGACATGTTAAAATATAAAGCAAAATTTTTGGAATTTTGAATAACAACAATGTAAAACAATAAATGTTTTGTTTTCAAAGCATTTCTATTAATAATGTGGTCATGATCCTAATCCATTAATCCCAAATATTGTTTATATTTTTAATACACAATTTCTTTCATATTGAAAACTATTCTTTGAGAAAATGATATAGTTATAATTAGTAATAATGAGTTTAATTATAGAGACTATACAGCTGTCCCTTGCAGGACAATTTTAAAATTTCTTAAATTAAACTCCATTCATAATTAACTGATGTGACTGATGTAAAACAAACAAATTCAAACTTTGAAATATTTTGATAGAACTGTTATAAAAAACNATCTTAAAAAAATTGCAGTCATTAAAAAAAATCTCCAAATGTTTTATTTAAATAGAATCAATGAAAACAAAACATTATAACTAAGTGTTTTCTAGGCTCATTGATTCATCTGTCAGATAAATTATTGCAAAATTATATACATAGTAGATTTAAAAACAAAACATTCAAAATAATCCAGAATTTGCTCTTTTATTATAAATTCTAATAAAACATGAGCATAAACAGTAAATATTAATTGTAGTATAAAATGCTTCTTGTTTCAATAGCTATGTTAAATTTTCAATTGGCTATTAATATGCCTCAAAACCAAACTTATCATAACTACTACAAATGACTTTAAGGTGACTGTTTTACCATTTCAATTTTATTGACTCCAATATGCATTCATCCCACTTCAGTTGTGTACAATAATATTTAATATTTAGCTGTTAACTAAATATTAAATATTAACTTGAAAAGAAAATAAATATAAATCTTTGAAATACACTAAAAATTAAAGATTTATACAAACTAAACAAAATAAATATGTCAAATATTTAAATATATTTCAAAATAATTAAATATATTTCAATGTGATATTAAAAATCATTTCATATAAAAGTACAGGTATCCCTTGTATAACATGATAGTTTCAAAAAAGTGCTGTGTTATGCAAATCTGTATTATACAAAACACAGGACTAATGGAAAACATAAAATTAGGTTAACAAAAGTATGCTATCCTTTTTTCTTACTAAGAAAAATGTGTTTATTAAAACAATCAATAACGTATTTCCAATCAATAATTACCTAATAATCACAATTAAAAGTACTGAATTACATGTTAATATTAATTTTAGTTAAACGAGGGCATTTTCTTTTTACAAAGTATAGTGATCTAAGCTTTTCTGTTAATCTTGATCAGAAGTATTGGCAACATCTTCATTTTTTCATAATTTCATTTTTATCATAAAAAATTTTCATGTATGACAAAATAAAATTATGTTGTTAATTGAAAATTTGCTCTAATGGGTTGCATTTGTTCAATCAAGGACTGAGCAATTTTTTCAAATATTTATGTGTGAATACCAAATGGTTTGAGTACCAAGATAACACCAAATTTCATTCATCATTTTATGAATGATTATTTACCTACAGTTGAAAAAAAAGTTTAATAACACTTACCTAAAAATGTCTAAATAAACTTTACTAAATATGAAGATTAATCTATAAAAACTAAACACATGACAAGTCTTAAAGGCTAAAATCTGAAAGCAACAACAATGAAATCTAGTTGATAGGAAAGTTAAGACAAGGAAGAAAAAAATTGCACTATGGTTTTCATTACACCTAATAAAAAAAAAAATAAATTAAGACTTCAATATTCTAAACTCCATGGGCAAATTTGAGATAACATGCATGCCTACTAGAATAAAAAAGATATTGAATAAAGGAGTTTGCCCTTAAAAGTTGTGAAATTTTTTACAGACGACTTCCCAATAGCTCTTCAGAGACGTTTTGATATGATTGTAATATTAAACAAATCTCCTACAAAATTTTTTTGAAATTTTATATTTCTTTATTTAAATTTACTTTAAATATGCTGAATCAAAAATTAACCAACTCAAAAATTTTTTTTAATTTTGTGAAAAGATCTATTAGAAATAATTATGAAATAATCATTGATAGTCTTATTTTAATTTTGTACTACAATTCTGAAGACAAATTAACAAAATAAACTAAAAAGTGGTTTATTTTGTTAATTCATAAATAAATTAATCTAAAAAAATCTGTAATTAGAGGTTTTTTAGAACAGACCAAAAAGATTATAAAAATTATTATTTGTTATATTTTTCTGAAAGGTTTATACATAATAACTAGAAATACATTTTTAAGAATTTAGAACCAAACTGCAATTTTCATTTTATGTTAATAAAATTCAATTTACTTTATATTTACACATTTAATTAATATAATTTTTAAAATAATGTTATCTTATATGAGCCATTCACAAACCAAATCGATTAACACCACATTTCGAAATTTTGTAATTTTAGTGTGAGCATACTTGATATACTCATAACTTTTTATATTTATAATAAGTTTTCCTAATAATAAGGATCAATGCCACTTAATGACAAAATTTTATTGGCAATCAGAAAAAACTTTATTTATTTCAGAAGCCAATCTAATAACTCCATACTGTAATGTTAATCCACTAGGGCACTCTGCGATTGCAATGCTGCAGTGTGCACTGACTAGTGCTTTGTAGATAACAGTAAATTATTTAATGTTATCTCATAACAAAACTTAAGTAAAAGAAATTAGTTCGTTACAGTCCAACTGCCACAGAAGTAAGTATACTTCAGGAATAGTAAATGATTGTTTTAATTTTGATGACAATTGTTTTTAGAAAAAAGAAATCCCATTATATCAAGATGGATAAAACTAAAAATAATTTTTTTCATTCCTCCTATTAAACACAGTTCTTATAAAAATTTAAGAACAAATCAACAAGACGGGACCTTAAATATAGCTGATGAAGAAGACATCATTTATATTGCTGAATAATCAATTTAAACAAAATTATTATTATTTTGTTTAAATTAACTATACTGTTACTGTTAACATTGTAACAGTAACAGAATAATTATTATTCATTTTTGCAAAAAATCTTTATTAAAAAATGTGCACTAATGTAAAGACTGAATTTGATGTTATTATGTTTTTCACTTGCCAAATCAATTAACTCCCATCAATCACATGAAAATCGTAATAATAATAACGATTACAGCATATCTATGCTATCTTATACATTTTATATGTCGTTAAATAAAAGCTACATCTACAATAATACATTCTACAATGTTTATTTGAATTTATATTTTACAAGGAATTTTAAAAAAGAATACATATTACTTTGTCACTTTTCTCCACTTTTTGTTTTATGGAGTTAATCGATTTGGCAAGTGAGCAGCACATATATCTCTTAATATGTAATATGAAGATATCAAATTGTTATTGATATTTTAAAACATTTTATTCATATAAAGAAACTGAATATGGTAACAGTTAGTTTAATATACATACAGCATAGCGAGCTAGAAAATACGGACACCAGCCTTTCTTCTTTCCATATTCTCTTAAATCATCCTTTAAAATTTTATATAGATATTTATATTAAATATATTAAAATAATATTTTCAAAATATTCATTAGTATTAGGTAAAAATAAATACTTACAATATTATACACACCAGAAGGCAATAGTAATTCTCTACCATGAGCATCAAATTGCTATTAATTTGAAATAATAGTATTTGATAATAAAATAATCATTATCTAACATTTAATTTAAAATAGAAGAATTTTTAATTTATCAAAATATAAATTACAGATTAATTAATTACAATAAATTTTTATAATATAATGGTAATATATATCTAGAGCATTGTAAGATAACTGAATCAAGCTGTTAATTGAACTTAACTGTGTTGGGTTACCATTGCTCATACATACACAATGAGGAATCACTTCATACTTCAATATTTATTCACATCTATTTTTTACAAATGCATGTCAACTCAATAGTCTTCATCAATCTAAGTTGTTTGTACAATATAGCAATCTTTGCATTTGTGGTGATACAAAGATTTTCATTAAATCAAAAATAACACATATTTAAACAGCCAATTATATACCAAAACAGCCAATACATATAGTATGTATAAGTAGCCACTTCCTCTAATATATTGCCTGGTACTTAACAATAAACTATAAAATGTTTAATTGGAAAAGGGCCTTATAAGTTAATATGCCCGTTCACTTTATATAGTTGTTTAAATTTTGTAATATTTTCAAGAAAATGATCAAAATCATCATTAACTAAAACTTGAATGATAATGCTAATATACTATAATATAATAGCATTGTTGATGTAATATAGTATATAGCAGTAATTAATTTCAAAATTAAAGTGCTTATGAGCAAACAAATATATCACACTTGTTCTAGTATATAAAGTTTCTGCAAATAATTTTAGTAAAAAATATCTAGACATTGACTTAGCTCAATTTATTATGCCAAATCACAATATTAAAATTATGAATTTATGAATTTTTAAATTTTAGTGTGAAAGCACTTGATATACTCATAACTTTTTATATTCATAATAAGTTTTCCTAATAATAAGGATCAATGCCACTTAATGACAAAATTTTATTGGCAATCAGAAAAAACTTTATTTATTTCAGAAGCCAATCTAATAACTCCATACTGTAATGTTAATCCACTAGGGCACTCTGCGATTGCAATGCTGCAGTGTGCACTGACTAGTGCTTTGTAGATAACAGTAAATTATTTAATGTTATCTCATAACAAAACTTAAGTAAAAGAAATTAGTTCGTTACAGTCCAACTGCCACAGAAGTAAGTATACTTCAGGAATAGTAAATGATTGTTTTAATTTTGATGACAATTGTTTTTAGAAAAAAGAAATCCCATTATATCAAGATGGATAAAACTAAAAATAATTTTTTTCATTCCTCCTATTAAACACAGTTCTTATAAAAATTTAAGAACAAATCAACAAGACGGGACCTTAAATATAGCTGATGAAGAAGACATCATTTATATTGCTGAATAATCAATTTAAACAAAATTATTATTATTTTGTTTAAATTAACTATACTGTTACTGTTAACATTGTAACAGTAACAGAATAATTATTATTCATTTTTGCAAAAAATCTTTATTAAAAAATGTGCACTAATGTAAAGACTGAATTTGATGTTATTATGTTTTTCACTTGCCAAATCAATTAACTCCCATCAATCACATGAAAATCGTAATAATAATAACGATTACAGCATATCTATGCTATCTTATACATTTTATATGTCGTTAAATAAAAGCTACATCTACAATAATACATTCTACAATGTTTATTTGAATTTATATTTTACAAGGAATTTTAAAAAAGAATACATATTACTTTGTCACTTTTCTCCACTTTTTGTTTTATGGAGTTAATCGATTTGGCAAGTGAGCAGCACATATATCTCTTAATATGTAATATGAAGATATCAAATTGTTATTGATATTTTAAAACATTTTATTCATATAAAGAAACTGAATATGGTAACAGTTAGTTTAATATACATACAGCATAGCGAGCTAGAAAATACGGACACCAGCCTTTCTTCTTTCCATATTCTCTTAAATCATCCTTTAAAATTTTATATAGATATTTATATTAAATATATTAAAATAATATTTTCAAAATATTCATTAGTATTAGGTAAAAATAAATACTTACAATATTATACACACCAGAAGGCAATAGTAATTCTCTACCATGAGCATCAAATTGCTATTAATTTGAAATAATAGTATTTGATAATAAAATAATCATTATCTAACATTTAATTTAAAATAGAAGAATTTTTAATTTATCAAAATATAAATTACAGATTAATTAATTACAATAAATTTTTATAATATAATGGTAATATATATCTAGAGCATTGTAAGATAACTGAATCAAGCTGTTAATTGAACTTAACTGTGTTGGGTTACCATTGCTCATACATACACAATGAGGAATCACTTCATACTTCAATATTTATTCACATCTATTTTTTACAAATGCATGTCAACTCAATAGTCTTCATCAATCTAAGTTGTTTGTACAATATAGCAATCTTTGCATTTGTGGTGATACAAAGATTTTCATTAAATCAAAAATAACACATATTTAAACAGCCAATTATATACCAAAACAGCCAATACATATAGTATGTATAAGTAGCCACTTCCTCTAATATATTGCCTGGTACTTAACAATAAACTATAAAATGTTTAATTGGAAAAGGGCCTTATAAGTTAATATGCCCGTTCACTTTATATAGTTGTTTAAATTTTGTAATATTTTCAAGAAAATGATCAAAATCATCATTAACTAAAACTTGAATGATAATGCTAATATACTATAATATAATAGCATTGTTGATGTAATATAGTATATAGCAGTAATTAATTTCAAAATTAAAGTGCTTATGAGCAAACAAATATATCACACTTGTTCTAGTATATAAAGTTTCTGCAAATAATTTTAGTAAAAAATATCTAGACATTGACTTAGCTCAATTTATTATGCCAAATCACAATATTAAAATTATGAATTTATGAATTTTTAAATTTTATTTTAAGCAATTTGAATGAATTTGAAATTAAAAATCCTAGATATCAATAGTGAATGATTATTTGAAATAAAAAATCAAATTTAATTTTTGTACTAGATTTTTTTAAAAAAGATTTGTATTCACAGGAAACTAATATAAAATGAATTCATACAAATAAAAGTTATAGATTGAAGTAATTAACCTACTTCATAAAATGAACATATTTCAACTGTTGGATCATGTTTATGCATTAGTCTTTTATGTGAAGAAGTTAAAGAATAACATTTGCCATCAACAATCTTTCCATCACGTTCTTTATTTACCTAAAATAATAATTAAATGTTTATATTTTAAATATTTAAATGAAATAATTAAAATATTATTACCAAAATTTTATAAAATAATTTAAATAAAAATTACTTATCAAATACAGTATACAGTCAAACCTTGACTTTCAAATGCCCCTGTTTACAAACAAAATTTTGAACACCACACTTGCTGCAGTTTACATAAGATAAATTGGTTTCCAAACAACAACTCAGCAGAGCCGGCCACCAATGGTCAACTTCCTATACTTCCTATGTTAAAGAAAGTCAATGGCCCGACCAATCAGCGACAAGACTACTGATTCAGTAGTGGCGCTGAGATTTGCCATGTATCATTAAATGTCATGACACGAACCATTGATGATATTGTTATACAAAGTAGATTTCAATGTGCATGCAGGTAAGATACTATTGCTGATTTTTGGTATGTGTTACAATTCAATTTAAATCAAATTAATAAATAAAAACTACATTAATTGACATTTGCATAATATAAATGACATCCAATAATTCATATTTAAAGGTGCTTAACTCAAATAACAAAAATTTATTAATATATTATATATTATAATATTAATGTTTAATATATTTATTAATACTAGGTAGCCAGTTAATTAAAATTAAATAATATATTATATATTATAATATTAATGTTTAATATATTTATTAATACTAGGTAGCCAGTTAATTAAAATTAAATAATAAAGTAATGATTAAAACTTTGGTTTTTCTACCAAAACTGAAACTAAAATTAAAAATAAAATCAAAATTAATTTATTTATTTACATTAAAAATTAAAATTAAAATCAAAGCAATTGAAACATAATATTCCAGTAAGTGTGGATAAGGTACTTGTTGTCTGTTTTGCTTGATTTGGTTATATTTCATCCTGGCAGAGTCAAGTCTCTATAGCACTTTTTGTAAAGTGTTAGTTTTTGTTTCAGTTTGCAGTGATTTTGCTTTTAATATATATATAAAATGGATATAAATATAGATTATGCTATATATAACAACATCATATTGCATTTGTAGGCAATTTTATGCATGAAATGCAACTAAAAAGGTAAAAAAAAAAAAAGCTTTGTTTTGGTGGTTGGAAACAGATTAATCCAATTTACATTGTTTCTTATGGAAAAATTTGTTTTGATTTGAGAACAAATCAGTTTCTGAACAACTTTTAAATTGAATTAAGTTTGTAAACCAAGGTTTGACTGTATTTTCAATTTAATGGATTCTGATTTAGCAGATCTTAAATTTACTAGATTCCAAAGCACAAAGGAGAGGTGCTTTTTAATTGAAAATGGTTAGAAGTGTAAAATGTAATTTTAATGGTTTTAACTTTTAACAACAGACACAGAACCAATTTCCAGTGTGTATAATCAAAAATAGAATACTTTCACAAGTGTTTTCCAACTCCTTTCAAGTTCTTTAGGTGTGACAGAATGGTTACCTGATGGAATATTATTGTTCCAATTAACAACTATAATGTGTCAAACATGATTTGACACATTATAGTCGTTAATTGAATGATTGTTATGCACATGACAATGCCTATGTAGCATTAAATTTTATATTTATAGTTTCTAAAGGTCATTCAAATTATGTTGTTTTAAAACTTTTTACAAATACAGTGGAACCTTGCTTAACAAGCATAATTTGTTCCAGAATCATACTTGTAATGCAAAACACTCATTAAGCAAAACAATTTTTCCTATAGAAATTAATGTAAAATACGATAATGCATTCCACTCTGAAAAAATACTCAAATATTTTATGTATAACATTTATTCAAAAAAAATTGTACAATGTGCATTGTTAAGAAGTGTGAATCATCATCATCTTTTCTTCTAGAGCAGAATGAACCAACCTGGAATGAGAATTTGATTTGCAGAAAACAAAAAAAAAAATCACAGATAATATGTTTGATAAACACTCCAAATGATATGCCAAATTCTCGGGCTATGTAAAGGCTATAATTAAATAATAAAAATTAATTAATTTGACTAGAGGTTGGCAGTTATGATTACATCTCATATTAAATTTAATAATTATAAATAGTTAATTCAGACACTTCTAAAATTTAATTTGGAATTGGTCATTAAATTTAATACGAGATGGCAGCATAACTGCCTGCCTCTAGTCAAATTAATTAATTTCTATTATTTAATTATAGCTTTTACATAGCCCAAAAATTTGGCATATCGTTTGGTGTGTTTATTATATAACTGGCTATGGTTGTTGATGTTTAAAAGTAATATGTGTGAATACAAGTTTGGAAAAATATGTGATCACAAGCAATACTAAGATGCTAGCGAAACGAGTGCTAAACACAGACTGATGGAGCATGCACACAATCTGAGAATTCTCCTCTCCTCATCACTCGTTATGCGAAGCAATTTTTTACAATTTGTTTTGCTCGTTATGCAAAACACTCGTTATGCAAGGTGCTCGTTAAGCGAGGTTCCACTGTAAACATTTGTTCTGATAACATTCCATGGGTAATCGTTCTGTTGTAAAACTGAAGAACTCAGGAGTTGGAAAAACATTTGTGAGGGGTTCAATTTTTGTATTATATGCACCAGAAATTTGTTGTGTGTCTGTTGTTCCATATATCCCAGTGTGTAGTGGTATATATTTTAACATTTAATTATGTATATGAAAAATGGTTTAGCCTATTGGTTTTTTAAAAAATATATATAGTAGTCATCATGAATTTGGCTGATGAGAGACAGAAATGGTTCAAAATGCATTCCCTGTGTAAAAAATTTCCTATGTAAACTCATTTTTTACACAGGGAATGCATTTTGAACATGATGATAATTTCTTAAACAATCAATAATTCCATTACAATATGTCTAATAAGTCTAGTATTATAGCAGAAAATAATAGCCATTAATAAAACTTGGAGATAAACAACTAGACATGAAGCAACTGCAAGAAATATTTAAAATTTAAACAAAAACAAAATACTGTAAATTAACATCAATAAACAAACCAACATAAATAAATACTAAAAATATAAAAAAATGCATCTACTTTCAAAATTGGCAACTTGTCAATTTCAAGGCTTTTTTATTATAGTTATTTATGACTTTTGTTCATTGCACATATGGGTGATTTATATATATTTTGTAACTTATTATTTTTATTTTTTTATTTATTTATCTTTATTTATACATTATTTTTTGTTTTTGGTATTTATTTATATTATTTTATTTATGTTATTTTATGGTATTTTATTATTTTTTGTTTCAATTTGAAATGTTCAGTGTTCTCTAAACTTACATTCTTTTTCTTGCGTTCTTAACTGTTGAATTTATAATCTATATATATAAAATTGCTTGTCCTGACTGACTCACTGATTCATCATCACCCAGAGCAAATCGCTGAACCTAAAGAGGTGAAATTTGGTACACAGTTATGGTACATCATGAAAATGCACACTAAGAAGGGATTTTTCGAAATTCCCCCGCGGGGGAGAGGTAGAGGATTAAGCTTAACCGGAAAACGGCTTCTACTGTACTATTTTGGATGCAATTTTTTATTTTTATATGCGTTTTAGTAGGGTATGCCATGGGAATTCACATTAAGAAGGGATTTTTCGAAATTCTCCCGCAGGGGGAGAGGTAGAGCATTAAGGCTTAACCAGAAAAACGGCTTCTACTGTACTATTTTAGATGCGATTTTTTGTTTTCAACTACATTTAGTCTTCATTGAGTACTTAGGTGTATTAAATTGATAACATTTCAGAAATTGTTATTAATATTTTTATCTATTTCGATTTTAAAAATGTTCCAACCATTTTAAGTTTGAATTTGTTATTGCATATTGGTTCGATTATAGAACGATTGTAAACGTTCCAGAAAATTGATCAAATTGAAAATAGTTTGTTTGATTCTCGGCAATCCTCTTCAGCGGTAGGTGTTATATAACAATTACTATGGTTAATGAAATATTGAATGTAAATGGGGTTTGCTTGCAAAACCTCCATGGATGAAGTCGCGGGTAACAGCTAGTATTTGATAAAATTCCTCTTAACCTAAAAACAGTTTTTTAATAAGACCAAAAATGTTTGTAATTAAAAATTGCTTTGCTGCTTAAAAGGTTGAGAATATATTAATTGCTTTCTAGGCAGTCATCTTTCTATTATGAGATAATCTTCAATTGTAAACAATGTTTAAATTTAAATTCTTTAAAATTTCTAAATTATTTTTAATTGTGTAATTTTTATTTAGAAATTATACTTAAGATTTTTAAAATATTTGTCTGTTATGCATGTTAAAATATTTAAAATGTCAAACACATATTTTTTCTTAAATGTGTAGAATTCATTTCTGTGTATTAATTTCATCTTATTAAACGATTTAATTCCACTTTAAATAAAATTATTTAAATATTTTTTTAAGCTATTTTAATTTCTTATTTTCAGATTGTTATGTATAAATCAAAAACTGTAAGAGGAATCCCATTGCTGCTAATGTTTGTTCAATATTATTATATTTATATTTATAATGAAATTTTAATTGTAACTGTAATAATTTCATTATCAATACAAATAGAAATAATTTCATTTTCCTCAAAACAAGTTTTATGTCAAATTATAGTTGAACAACAGTAACAAACTAATATAGAAAAATGTTTAGAAAGAGACAAATATTTTGTTTACATCTAATCATTTCAGCAAAATTTTGTTTCCTAATTTTACAAACAAAATAAATTTATATTTTACACTGTAAAAAATAATAAACTTGAAATGAAGAAAATAAATTTTTTAATATTTAAAAACTTCCATAAAGTTATTAATACAGTAATACCCCGAACTTACGCAATAGGTGGGACCGAGCAATAACCGTTTAAGTCGAATTCGTGTAAGTCGGGGTATAATTTCCCAATTTGTGTAAAATACAAATCGGATGTATGTAAGCTAATAAATGTTCTCGTTAATCTTATCTCGTCTTTTGTTTCGTTCACGGTTACAAGAAATCACCACATAGAGTCTCTCGAGTCTCTATAGANTCTAGGCAGTCATCTTTCTATTATGAGATAATCTTCAATTGTAAACAATGTTTAAATTTAAATTCTTTAAAATTTCTAAATTATTTTTAATTGTGTAATTTTTATTTAGAAATTATACTTAAGATTTTTAAAATATTTGTCTGTTATGCATGTTAAAATATTTAAAATGTCAAACACATATTTTTTCTTAAATGTGTAGAATTCATTTCTGTGTATTAATTTCATCTTATTAAACGATTTAATTCCACTTTAAATAAAATTATTTAAATATTTTTTTAAGCTATTTTAATTTCTTATTTTCAGATTGTTATGTATAAATCAAAAACTGTAAGAGGAATCCCATTGCTGCTAATGTTTGTTCAATATTATTATATTTATATTTATAATGAAATTTTAATTGTAACTGTAATAATTTCATTATCAATACAAATAGAAATAATTTCATTTTCCTCAAAACAAGTTTTATGTCAAATTATAGTTGAACAACAGTAACAAACTAATATAGAAAAATGTTTAGAAAGAGACAAATATTTTGTTTACATCTAATCATTTCAGCAAAATTTTGTTTCCTAATTTTACAAACAAAATAAATTTATATTTTACACTGTAAAAAATAATAAACTTGAAATGAAGAAAATAAATTTTTTAATATTTAAAAACTTCCATAAAGTTATTAATACAGTAATACCCCGAACTTACGCAATAGGTGGGACCGAGCAATAACCGTTTAAGTCGAATTCGTGTAAGTCGGGGTATAATTTCCCAATTTGTGTAAAATACAAATCGGATGTATGTAAGCTAATAAATGTTCTCGTTAATCTTATCTCGTCTTTTGATTCGTTCACGGTTACAAGAAATCACCACATAGAGTCTCTCGAGTCTCTATAGATATAACAAACACAGAAATAAATAACACAAAATAAATTGTAGCTATGTGTCGATTCCGCGCAACACGTCCGAACATGTAAGCCAAACAATAGTGTGGGGGGAATGAGTAATCAAGAGATGAGTGGCGCTCAAACAAAAGATGAATTGATGAGATTTGAAAATTGTGTAAGTCCGGGTTTGCGTAAGTCAGGGTAGCGTAAGTCGAGGTATTACTGTATGTGATTTTTTTTCACAATTATAATTTTAATATCAATGAATTTAATAAAATTTACAGCTCTGTATCATGAAAATATAAAGTAAAAATCTTTCAGTTTTCATTATTTTTTTAAATTAAATAACTATGTATGTTTTTGATAGTGGTTATTCATTCTATGCACTTGTGTAATCTATAAACTATTTCAAAATAATTTTTATTTATATAATAAAATACCTGTGGATGAATACACAGATTTTTTCTAGATGTAAGACATAATCCAATGATTTCCAGTTTTCGTCCAGTTTCTTTATCGTAGCAAATTATCAATTTCTTTAATTCTTCTAAAACCTAAAATAAAACATATGTCTAATATAACTATATAAATTTAATTTAGTTTATAATTTAATTTAGCTGTTTATAAAATTAGAAAATTAAAAGTAAATTCACACAATGCATAAAGCCAACACCAGCACTGTGAAAAGAAAAAAATTTACTAATGTTTTTGTCTATATGAAAATAGACATCATCAGGTAAAAGTATATTTATTATTAAAAAGTTTTTTAGCCAGGACATAAGTGTAAACTTTGAAAAAATTTTTTACAAATAAACTTTTCATTGAATGAATGTAAAAGTGTCCTCTTTCGCTGTCCCTTTGTACACCATCAGGAAATAACAATTTCATGGCAGAGATGACCTTTATTTGGAGGCTACTTCTCTGCCTCAACATGCAAATGTTACAAAGTTTCCTCTGGCAGTGTCAAATACATTTATAAAAATTATACATTTAATAAAAAGTTTGATTTGTAAAAAAGATTTTCAAAGTTTATACTTATGTCCCGACTAAATTAAATGTATAATTTTTATAAATGTGTATACTGCCACAAGAGGGAATGGTACTCTTCAGTTAACAGGATGCCAGTCAATCAATGAAATCTGATTCATGTTTACATTCTAATATTTACTTTATTATACATTAAATTTTATATATAGTTAATTAGGTTGAAAACTTTCCCTTTTCTCTAAGATTGTTTAAAAAAGTATAAAAGTCAATTATGTATTTAAACAATGACAGTTAAAACACATTTTATATCAAAAAATATTAGCATATTTCGACATTAGTGTAAATGTCGAAGTGAAACTTTTCACATCTTGTTTATTTTGTACTTAACGTGTTAAGTAATGTTAATTTATTTTTGATTTTCAAGTAGAAAATAAATAAAATTTAAAATCAGCATTTTTAATTTATGATCATCTTACTTTGCATAATACTGCGACTCATATTTGTGTCATTAATGTAATGAGATTATGTGAATTACATTTATGGATAGACATGATAGTGTATGAAACTGTGTAGTTTGTTCAATGTGCTTAGTAATTCTTTTTGATGTGCTTTTTTTGTTTTCAACTATAATGGATTTTACACTTTGTGAACTACCAAATGATGAAGAAAGTACTATTCGTTTTTTTTCAAGAAAAAAGGAATTTTGCATAGTGAAAGATACTGTGCACATAAACATAAAATGACATTATATTTTTGCCTCTCCAAAGTCCCAAATGGAGATGCCATACCCGATCCTGTCTTGAAAAGAAGGGTGTTAGAAGTAATAACTGGTTTGAAGGAACATGCATTTCTTTTTTGAATGCTGTACACCTCATATACCTATAGTGTTTGGAATTAATCTATGGAGATTTCTGCCAAATGCAGATAGGAATCAATCCCAGCAAAACTGTAGATTGGAACAACTATATGCGGGAGGTATGTGCAAACTCTTTAATCTGTCATCCTAATGTAAAAATACGTGGTAAAAATAAAATAGTAGAGATAGACAAAAATGTATATACACTTAGAAAATATAATGTGGGGCACGTTCTTCCACAGCAGTGGGTTTTCAGTAGAATCTACCAGATTACCAAAGAGTGTTTTTTTAGTAGCCATACATGATTGTTCTGCCAAAACACTGAAGAAGGAAATTTGACCAACATTAAAGAAGGAAACATAATATATTCTGACTGATGAAAAGCTTATAAAAAAGACAAGTTAGTAGAAACTGGATACAAATATTTTCAAGTAAACCATAAGTATAACTTTGTGGACTCTAATACAGGCTGTCATATGCAGAATATAGAAATATTGTGGGAGATTGCAAAATAGAGGAATAAAGTTCATTGTGGAACTTCGCATAACCATTTAGATTCATATCTAATAGAATTTATGTGGCGCAGACAACATTCCAAAAACGAAATGTTTGCAGCAATATTAAATGACATATCACCAGTTTGATACAGTGAATGTTTGCAGAATGTTTTCCTTTGTAATTCTCTAATTTTGTAGAACTTTTTTTTGTATTTATATTATTTTATAAATATTTATTTCAATATGTATAAAATACAAAATAAAGTATCAATTTTGCTAAAAAAGTAGTGAAAATGACACATCCCAAAGAGTACCGAGGAAACTTTGTAACAATTTGCATGTTAAGATGGAGTAGTAGCCCCCAAATAAAGGTCATCTCTGCTGTAAAATTGTTATTTCCTGATTGTATATGAAGGGACAATGAAAGAGGGCACTTTTAGTTTGTCCAATGAAAATTTTAATTGTAAAAAATTTTTTCAAGTTTAAATTTATTATTTTATTTATATATTTTGCTGTTTTCTTTATGAAGTAAATTTTTTTAGCATTTCTCAACTGCTAATTAGTATTTTCTTACATCAATTTTTAATTCTGAGTAACTAACATATACAAACACAGATGCTTACACAAGTGCACAACACAGAATTATGTATAAATAATATATAATTTTAACAATCTCACAAATAAGAATTAAATGTTATTGATCAACAATATACTTTAGATTACTGCTTTCTAATTTTAACAACTAAAAATTTTAATTTTCTGTTTTTTCTTTCATTGTTCAACAAATACATCAATTGCACTTAACTATAATAGCTTCAGAAGAGTTTCTCTGATACATTATGTTGACAAAAGTGTCCAGACATCACTTTCTAGTGTTTCTCACCAATTCAACATTGTCATCAATACAGTCAAATCCTCCTTTTACTGCTATTATAGACATTACTCTTTCAGGTAGGCTTTTTACTGGTAAACTGCTGCTAGAATTTGTTTCCATTCCTCATGTAATAGCTAACTATGAGATAATCAGCCAAGTACAGTGGAACCTCGGTATACGACCTTAATCTGTTCCTGATGTTTGGACTTATACCAAATAGGACGTATACCAAACCAACCCTTCCCATAAGAAGTAATGTAAAAATGATTAATCCGTTCTCACGTAAAAAAAAAATGGCTGGCTTTAAACATCTCACTTTCCTGCTTGATTTTTCATGAGATCAGCATGTATCTTTTTAGCTTTCTCGCAAATAATTACTTCTGATACGCTGTCGCCAGCACACTGTTTTTCAGTTATCCAAAGCAAAAGCATTTTCTCAACATAATCTGATGTCTTCGATCTCTGTTTAGAAATTGATTTAACCCCTTTCGCAACGTTAGCAGATTTAATAATGTCTTTCTTTTTCACGATCATTGATATCATCGTTCTCAGAATACAATATGCAACAGTTAACCCCTTCAGTACCATGCTCGAGTGTGACTCGAGCAAGTTTTATAGCGTTACGTAAAAATCGGTCGTTAAGGCCACTTTTAAAAAAATTATTTTTTTTGAATTTTTGGAATGTTTTTTAGGTCCCCAAATTTTTTCAGAATTTTTTGCGCACGCGAAAAAATTTTATCGCGATTTTAATGAGCCTTTGATAAGGCTCGATTAAGGCTTAATGTTTTTTTAATGGGAGTTTTTTATCAAAATTAATTTATCATTCTAAAGTTGTAGCGCACCGATTTTCCTTCGGTAAAGTTATTTAAAGCTGCTTTCTGATGTCAAAAACGACTTCCGATAGTTTTTTAATTTTTTTAATTAATAGATTTTATTATATAGAAGTTTAATTAATTAGGGGGGGTCGGAAATCTCAATAAAAATTATAATTTTTTAAAAATATTTAAAAATATACCGCCAGATTGAAGTCACCCTACTTCAAACCCTTGTCCTCCTGCGATGTCTATGAGAATGTCCCGGGAAATCCGACTCCAGCTGTGTTCAAGGTCATCCAGCTGTGTAAACAATAACTCATCGGTGTTAAATTTCGCAGAAAGGACAGACAAAAAAACTTAGACTTTGAAGCTTTTTCTTCAAAATTAACGCATTTCTTTCGTTTTTTTTCAGTTTTAAGTATTTTTTATGCTTAATTAAAAATTCTAAAAAAATGGGCGGCTCAAAAGGGGTTAAAATCTCGAACACGCGTGCCACCTTTATATTTCTCAACAATCTCTTTTTTCAGTTCCATTGTAATTCTAGTCATTTTTTCTTTTTTTTAGTTTTCTGTTGCTTTTCATTTGCCTTTTTGCGATTCGTGATTAATAAAAATAATAAAATTTTACTTACAAATTAAAATCAGAAGAAATTTAACAAAGTTATAAACAGTGGACCATGAACATCTAGTCTGGTCTAGTACACCGATAGTGCTACTTTTTCATAGATGGTGCATATAATTGAATTAAGTCGTAGTATACCAAACAAAAGTTGTATACCGAGCAAAATTTGTTTCGTCCAAACAGGACGTATTCCGAATTGGACATATTCTAAAGCAGACGTATACCGAGGTACCACTGTATGTCTAAAATGCAGTTATTCCTCCAGCTCAACCCAAAGATGATCATTTGTGTTAAGGTCGAGTCTTTGAGCTGACCAGTCAAGTCTTCCATCTCCATGTCTTCAAACATGAAGATATGGACTTTACTTTGTGAACAGGTGCTGGATGATACAGGAAAAAGTCAAATCCAAACTGTTGCTACAATATGGGAAGAACAGAATTGTCTAAAATGTCTTGGTAAGCATTACCATATAAAGATCCAGTTACAGAAACCAATGAGCCATTCCAAACCAGGAAAAACATCCCAGACCACCATGCTACCACCTACAAATTTCAGACAACACGACACTTTCCTGTAAATACTGTTCACTAGGCATCCACAAGGTCCAAATATGCCTATTAGATTTTCACATCACACATCTTCATTAATCACCCCAAAATACTTTTCTATTGCTCCACAGATGGTATTGCTTGCACCATTCCAAATAACAATAAGCACTGAAAATTTAATCTATGGCATATGAGCTATAGCAACAATTTGCTAGTATGTATTCCCGAGCTCATACAGAAGTTGTTTGCAAGTGGTTAGTAAGGATGTCTGACAATTTTGTTTTATAACACACTTGAGAATTTGCTGATCCCAATCTGTCAGTTTCTTGAGCATATCAAGTTGTGGGAAAGGTTTGATGTTACCATGATATTTTCATTTGACAACAACTCACTGACAGTTGACTAGGACATGTTCAATAAGGTAAAAATCTCTCAGACTGAATGATCAAACTTATGGGCTCTGAATATCATATCATTTTTCAACAGACAACTCCTTGTGCTCATTCATTCTGATAATACACTGTCTCTACACTGCTAGTACCTGTGCCCTCCTTTATATAGTATTTGGTAGAGTGCATTTGCATCATACAGGTGAGACAAGACAAGATAGAATAATAGGTGTCCGGATATTTTTGGTAGCATAGTGTATGTTTTCTTTTAATGATATGAAACCATGCTTTAAACATTGTTGTTGCTTCAAACACAATAAACTGCTATAAATTAACTACCGTTAACTACAATTCTAACATACCACTTCATATAAAACAAAATATATTTTATATGAAATACACTAAGATCAAAAATAGAACTAGTATAAATACTAAACAAATTGAACATACCCAAACAGGATACCCAAACAGAATTCTTAGCACTTGGGAAAAAGAAACAGCCAAAAAAAATAGATAAAAAAATAAGAATAGATCCTAAACAAAAGGACATAAAATACATTAGTTTTCCATACATAAAAGGCTTGTACGAGGAAGTTAATAAAGAAGTCAAAAAAATTAATGTAAAACTAGTACCGACATATGAAAAGCTACATTCTAGATTAAATGCAAAACAAGTTAGTAAGATAAATATAACAAAAAAAAGAAGAAAGCAAAAATGTAGTTTATAAAATTCCATGCACATGTGAAAATACTAAATTTTATATAGGTGAAACTAGACGTAAAGTTAAAGTAAGATTGAAAGAACATATAGCCGATTTAAAATTTTGAAGACTAAATTCTGCATTTCATGAACACTGTAATATAGATAAAAATAATATAGATATTTTATACAGAGAAAAAGATACATATAAAAGAAAATTTAAATAAAGTATAGAAATAATCAAAACAGTATAAATAAAAATCCTAGCATTTCTATAAGTGAAAACTGGTTAAGAATTTTATATTAATCATGTTTACCAGCTTCAAGAAATTGTATTATTATTATAGTCCATGTAATAATTTATAACATTAAATATTAAAATGTTAAATAACTTAACAATAACATACAACTGTAAAATTGTAATAGGTGTCAGATATGTAAATTTGTTATTGTATATTGTGAATGAGTACCAACGGTAGTAGTGATTTTACAAAACTAATTTATGAGTGACATACAGAATGGGAAGTATAGTTAATTAAGTACCACTTTAATAATACTTGTACCCCAGGTTGTGAAGGTGAATAATATTTCATATCAGACATTGTTCAGTATGCTTACTTGTCATAGTGCATTTGCGATGTGCGATGTCTGTGACGTATAATGTAATGGAGATGTAATGAAAAAACTTAAGAATAAGATGATGTCACTTTAATTTGTAAGACTTGTATCCATAGGTATGTATTAGATCAATATATTTTTATAAATTCTGCAAAACTTATGTATTTTTTATATATGTTGTATACTCTTTTAATATTTTAGTTGGCTGAAGAGGGGCTTAGGAGCCCGAAACGTGTAACTTTTCACACGTATCACCTAAATAAAGATGAGAAAGCCCGCCAAGTGTCTTAATTTATAACACTTATTGTGTTTGAAGCAACAACAATAGTGTATGTTGTAATTAGCAATAACATTTCATAGGATATTGCTATCAAACTACAGTAGAGCGTTGTTTATCCGAAAGCCAGTCAACAGAAATGCCAGTTAACTGAAAGCGTTCCAGTCAGCAAATTTAAATTTCCGCTAGTGCTGTGGCACTGCAACCTTTGGCTATGTCTTGGGCTACTCCAATATTTTATTTTGTTGGTGTGTGTGTTTTAGCTGGCAGCACTGGCAATTTTGTGTGGTGTTTTTCTGAGGACTGTGTGTCGTGCTGAATCGAACGTTTTTGATACTAGATTAACTTCTAAAGTATAATTGTTTTCGTTTTTATATTTTTCAATATATTTATTTTGTTTGTACAAAATAAAGAAATCATTTTTAACAATACAATAGCCACGATTATTATTATAAAAATTTTCATTAGGCTTAACATTGACAAAAATTCAACACAAAGCGACATGCAACGGAGAAAAATTTCAACATGGGATAGGTTAATATATTTTTTTTATATGTAATCGGTTATCCAAAAATTAAGTTATCCGAACAACCCCAGTCCCCAATTGATTCAGATAAACAACACTCTACTGTATTTAAATAGTGGTTCATGTACTTCAAAGACTAAAGTTTATCATCAAAAAGCTTCTTTGGTTTAACTTCAAAATGTTGTATTTGATGAATCACATTGACATTCTGTAGAATGTTAACCATAACAGAACTGAAAGTTAAATTACAGATTGAAAAGTGTTGCTTAATATAACTAGGTCTCAAAGTATCATTTCTAACAACTAAGTGACATAGTACATAATGAGGATACTTACTCATTCTTAAATATCACTAAATGTCCACACTCATATATAAATAATATATGATTGCTATACATTTTAAACTATTTGAAAAAAAAAATAATTTTTAAGAGAATTTTAATGTTACTTAGCTTTAACTGAGTGCAGCTACTTATGCCCATTAAATTACAGGTAACCCCCGTATAACACGGCACTTCTATAGCACGGATTCACTCTAACATGGTTCGAGAATTGGGAACATCCCCCATATAGCACGGGTTCACTCTAACACAGTTTGGAAATTGGGTAAAAAAACCCTCGTACAACATAAAATGTAATAAAGGGTGCATTCTTTTACACCTCCGTGCGAGCATTCTAATTGTTTTCGTGGCTACTTTGAATGCTCTTTCAACAAATAATTCATTTAATGGTTAAATTTTACAATTGGGAACCTTCTTTTGCCTCTAAAAGCTCATTTTAGAATTATAGATTCCTCCACACAATACTATTGATAGTGTGGGAGCCGCCATCTTTCTTTCACTGTTGTTCCTAAATGCCTACAAACAGCAGTGCACTCTTGTTGCAGAGTGACCGCTATTAACGAACTCACCCAAAAACTGTTACCAGTTGATGATGCTCATGCCAAGATCATCATATAAAATGAATAATCCTCTGGTAAAATATTTACTTAAATAATAAATAAGCATTTTACCTATGAAAAAAAAGAATAATAAATCCGATTTAAATAAGGATTTAACAACATGTTTTTTAATTTTTGGAACCTAACCCCCCTTTTCGTACTAATTCTTTGTTTTGTATAACACGGATTCGCATAGCACGGCAATTTTTTGGAACGTAACTCCCGTGTTATACGGGGTTACCTGTACAATATAATTGTTAGATGTCATTGTCAATATTACACAGCTAAATACAGTTTTAAAATAAGATAAAAACAAATGCTATTCCTTATATAATAAAATAACTTTAAATTAACATTCTTTATAACATCAATAATTTTTCTATATCTTTTTATAATTGCACATTCTAATGTTTTAGATCAAGAACTTTATACATCTATGACAACTATCAAAAATAGCATAAGCAAAAGTTATAATCTTATATTAAACAATAATAGCTCATTAATTCTACCTTTTCTATTTCAGGTACTGTCCTAGAACAATATATTAATTTTGATACTTGAGATCGATGTTCCTGTTTAAAAAAATTATTATAAAATTATAATTCATTACAAGATTAGTGTAATAATATTTTATCAATATACTATCTTGTATAATTATTCTTGCGTGAATTTTTTGAATTTTTCAATTAAAATAATAAAGAGGCTAAAATTTAATTTATGTAAGTGATAAGAAGATAATTATTTACATCAAACTAAAAACTACTTTATTGTAGTCAACATAGAGATCCAATCAAAGCAAGCAAAATTAAACTTTTCCCAAGCACTATTTGGATGTTAAGTCATCTTCGAAGATATTATTTATAAAACAAATAGAAATAGTTCTTAGAACAGAATTTTTTCAACTTTTAAACAGTGCTAAAACTGCTAGTAATCTTGTCTGTTATTTGAGCCGCAAAATTCAAACATTAATTACCCTGAAGATAAACACTTGAAAGTTCTCAAGAGAAGTTTAATTTTGTTTACTTTGATTGTATTACTACATGATGACTCCAATAAGTCAGTTTTTTAAGTTTGGTATTACAAATAAATTAGAGTTTGCTCTAGTAAATAAAATAATTATTTACTCTTTAAAATAGTGATTTTAAATTTTAATCATTTTGTTATTTAAATCACATAGTATTTAATTTTATTGAATGCTATATGCCAGGGGTAACCAACAAGTTGATCGCAAATGTAATTTTGGTAGATCGCTCTGATGTGTTGACTTAATGTGTTACACTCGTAACTGAACTCAACGCGTAAACGTAACTGTAGTGGTATCGGTCCTCCATGGCCTCCCTCGGATGCGGTTTTGTTGGTACATGTTAGGGTTTCTCAAATGGGATCCCAGTTGTTTTTTTAATCCAGGAAATCCCACAAATTTCTTAAAAATTCACTTTTTTTCTTATTTTGTGTTAAGGTTGAAGACATTTTGCAAATAGAAAGCATAATTAACTCAAACTGTCAGAACACATTTGTACTTATCAATTTTAAACCTACTTATTAGTTTCTTAAGTTTTTGCTCGTTATAGCATGTCACAAATGGTCAATAATCAATACGTAGCTTATTTGTGGCAGGACTCTCAAAATTGTTTACTTGTCGGAACCTGTAATGTCTGGAATAATTGTGCTTATGCTGTCTTAATTTTTAACCATGCCCAGTAGCTTCAATAACTGCGTACCGCCAGGTTGTACAAACTGGGCAAGGATACAAACAAGTACAATGTCTGCAAGTACGAAGTTTTTCTTCATAAACCTGGTTATAAAAGACAAACTAATTGACAAATTATCGGGCTATAATCTTGATGTTTCTATTAAAGCAGTTGAAGTAGACAAATGAAGAATACTAGAGAGCAAAAGAAGTACTACAATCTCAAAAACAAACTAGAAATCTTCCAGGCTACAGGTGAAAAAAAAAAAAAAAAAGCATATCTGTCTAATCTTAAATGCATTAAACACAATTCCAATCACATCAATTGAATCAGAAAAGCATTCTCGGTAGAAAGACTTTACATTACTAAAATAAGAATTAGATTGAGTAATCGGAGTATTGACATCCTTTGCTTTTTAAAATCTTATAGAAATTTACAATAATATTTTGTATTAAGTTTTATTTAAAAAACAAAAATTATCTTCTAAGTTAGAAGTTTGATCTACATTCATTTTTTTTAAATTTTTAACTCGTTTTAAATAATTTTTTCTTTTTTGTTGTATGCAGTTTCCAGCAAACTTTAATAATGTTTTTCTATTTGTGAAAATTTCTACGTAATTCAAAAGTAATTTTTAATATATATCTTACACAGCATTAATATGAGTTTGGAGGTTACAAAACGTACTAAATTACTTTAAAAAATGAAAATAATTATATCGTTTGATTTCATGATATTTTGTATATCTTAAAAATAATTAATTCTATCTCGGGACAGAATTGATAATTGATTTTATTCTGGGAAACAGTGTACTTTTATCCTGAAATCCCGGGACAAGCAAAACACCAGGAAATAAGAAACCCTAATCCATGTGCAATTCATTTGCGTATAGTTGTAAAAGGGGAATAAGAAATGTACACAAAGGGTCGTAAAATCGAAAAAAAAGAAAGGCAGGAAGAGGGACAGAGAAAGTAGGTCGGGACACGGTAGAGAGAGGAAGGGTGGTGGTCCCCGAAAGTGACAACATTGAGTTTCAATTTTTCTTCTATTTAAAATGTAAGTACCTTTTCTTCATGTTTTAATTAAATTGTGGCTTTTCTAACTATTTAAACATAGTTTGTATTTCACACCTCCCCCTCACCACTTAGCCTATACCTAGGACAAGTCGATCGCGACACTGTTTTAAGATAAAAAGTAGATCTTATGTACACAAAAGTTGGCCACCCCTGCTATATGCAACAATTCATGAAAGAATAAAATTAAAAACTGAGTTACAAACTTTAATTTTTATGATAACAATTTAAATCTGAAAATAATGACTCTATATCAATTAAAACAAAACAGATTAAAATATAAGTCATAAGTTTAAGTGGCTATAAAAGTGAATGATTATATCTGGCAAACATTGCTAGTTGTAGCTTTGTACTAAACATTTTTTATTTCAAATATGTTAAAAGAGTCCAATATACAATAGCTCAGAAGACAACATTTCAGATGCAACACAGATATCAATTACTTTAGGTGCTTTCTGTGAGAAGAATACACACCAAGCACTTTGCATTACTGAAGTCGATCAAGTCCTGTATCCAATGTCACGACATATGAAGAATAGAGAGACAGATTTTACAATCAGTGAATCAATATAAGAGTAAAAAACTATGCCTATTGAGGATAAGAATAAGAAGGAAATATAAAGTACTAAGGATGAAGCCTATCAAAGAAGAAAAAACGTAAAACTACACAAGCTATTTGGAAATCCAACTTTAAATGAAAGAAAGGAATGGAACAGTAAGTTAATTTTAAATAAAACTAACATTACAATTCTGGATAATATACTGAATATGCTAAAATTAGGAATAGCCGTTAGCTCCAATATATAGAGAAACTTCTTTAAAAATACCAGAAATAAATTTAATTAATAAAGCCATAAACTTAATTAACATTAAAAAAGAAGAAAAAAAGTGACCTAAAAGGAAAATTTAAAAGAGATATTAGTAAAATAATAGATAGGAACAAAGAAGGAAAAATACTAATCACAGATAAAAAAAGCAAAGCACTATTTTAAAAAATATAATAGAGTTAATAAATTTTTAAAAAATAATAATATAACTGTCCTTAGAATATCCATTCTAAGCAGAACAACTTATTTTAGTTGATAATGAATGGGAAAGAAGCAAGATGTTTGAATTGGTCAAAAATGAAGATTGCATACAACTAAAAAAGGATCCTAGAACTGAAATAACAACAAACTTAAATAAAGAAATTAAAAAGATCCATGAAGAAAAATGGATAGATATGAAAGAAAAACAATTTATATTGGATCTATCAAACAGTAGAATACCTATTTTAAAAATTAGATTCAAAACTCATACTATATATACTGTAAGGTCTCGTTTTATGCGGTGGATACGTTCTACAGAAAAGCGCATATAAAAAATTCGCATAAAAAAAGACTTTACTTGCCTTGAAAAAGTAGGGATACGTTCCGTAATTTTCTAAAATCGCATAAAACCAAAACAACGAGTTAAAATTAACTTAAAACCGCATAAAAAAGTTTGCAGAAATTAAAAGAAATAGGCTGCTTAATAAATTACTTCGAATGTCTGAAAGAAATTCATATAAAATTTAATTTCAAAACAATTACAGTTTATACCTTTCAATGCGAAACTCAGAATGATGTAATAGCGACTTGTCGATAGTATCATGTACAAGGGGAATCCCCGAATTGCAAAAGCTCACTCTAAAAACAAATCACTGACATCTGGATGTGAAGAGTTAATTAAAACCCATTTAGTTCCTCGCCCGAGTTAACTCGGGCAGGTTACATAGCGTTACATAAAACACGGTCCTTAAGGCCATTTTGGAATTTTTTTTTTGAATTTTTGGAATGTTTTTTAAGTCTCCAAATTTTTTAAAAATATTTAAAAATATACGGCCAGCTAGTGTTCACCCTACTTTAAACCCTTGTCCTCCCGCAATGTCTATGAGAATGCCCCGGGAAATCCAACTCCAGCTGTGTTCAAGGTCATCCAGATGTGTAAACAATGACTCATCGGTGTTAAATTTCACAGAAGGGCGAGACAAAGGAAGTTAAACTTTGAAGCTTTTTCTTCAAAATTAACCCATTTCTTTCGTTTTTTTCAGTTTTAAGTATTTTTTTATGTTTAATTACATTTATATCAAAAATTGCTAGGAACTAAAGCGATTAAGGTAGATCCAGCTGTCCTTTACATCCATAAACGTTATATGTCAGCAGAACAAATGGAGTGAGCTTTCAGCTTTCCACGATTTTTGGAGACTGTCCGTACGCGGGCTTCCTAAACAAGCCTATATGTATGTTTGTCCAAAAAATTTTTGGACGAAATACAAACTGCACAACTTCAAAATCGCATAAAAATAATCCACATAAAAAGAGACCTTACAGTACTAAACAAAATAAAAATGTAGACTGTTAGTAGATTTTCAGAATTCTACTTTGTATAACTTAAAACAATACCTTAAAAAGAAACTACACAATATCCTGTACTTGGATTACAGAGATGAGTTAATTAACAAAATATTTAAAACCTACATACACCTACATAAGCTGGTAAGCTTAGATATAAATTTGACATCCCAATATAAAATGGAAAATTATAGAAGAAAGTTTACAAACACTAAATATACAATGTTGGATCCAAAAACTAATTAAGTTAACGTATTTCAATAATTATTTTAAAATTAATAAAAGGTATTTCCACCAGAAAGACAGCATTAGCATGGGTTCCATGATAGGATCCAAATTTGCAGAAATTTGTATGAATACAATAGAAAATAAATTAGCTAATTTACCAGGTAGTATAATAGTTATATGTAAACAATGTTTTAATAATATTCGATTCAGAAAAAATAGATGAACTAAAAATTCAAAACTTTGCAAATAACATAAATAAACATATTCAATTTGAAACAGAACTTGAAAACAGAAGTTGTATAAATTACTTAGACATAACAATAATAAGAAGCAGTACAGGAGTTACTTTTAAAAAATATGAAAAAAAAATTGTACTACTTATAATAATTTAAACTATGTCATATTGTCCTCTTGAAATTAAAACGAATAATTTCATTACAGTATTACAGAAAATGTACAACAGATAAAAGGAATAGACAAGAAGAAAAAACAAAGTTGAAAAAGATGTTTTTTACTAAATAGTTATCCTAATAGAACAATAAAAAAATGGACAGATATAACAAAATTTAAAGAATTAAAATATATATCCTTTCCCTATATTAAAAATAATTCTGAGAAATTTTAAAAAATTTTTAGAAAGTGTTCTGTAGAATTAGCAGCTAATTTAAAAACAAATTTAGAGAATATATATATACACTAAACAAAATAAAAAGAAACAAAATTAATTAGAAAAATTGGGTGTCATCTACAAAATGTCATATACATGTGCAGATAAAGTTCATTATATTGGAGAAACTGGAAGAATATTGGAAAATAAAAGAACACGATGCATTAATTAGGTTAAAAAATACTAAATCACCTTGGTTTATAAATTGTAGTAAAAATAATTGTAAAACTAATAAAGATAATATTATAATTTTATTTCTAGAACATGATGTATATCTATGAAAATTTAAAGAACATATAGCCATTAAAAATTACAAGAACTTAATTAATTTGAATAGCAGGATGTTAATAGATGATGTATGGAATGACATCATATATAAGAATAAAAGTAGTTATGCAATGATTATTACTGTTATTTTCCTAATTGATGTTGGAGAGTTCCAAATATTGGTGTAAACTCTGTTACAGATTGTACTGTGCCTCTTGTAAGTGATTTATTTTAATATTTGTTAAAAAATTTTAACTGTATATTACAAAACAATTAAATTGTTTATAGACTGAAGAGGGAGTGGCAAGAACTCCAATCCAAAATACATTTAAATAAAATATCTGAGAATAAATAGTCTTCTGAGTAATTCTTGAACTTGAGTGAATGTCAGATTCAAAGGACATAACATTTAGGTTTATTTGTCCAAAAAATTTTTATAAGTGGTTCTAAAAGTGAATGTTAAGTTTAGTGCAGCCTAATTTTTGAGAACATAATTACTAGTTTTGATCATGGTCCATGCTTTCTGACTTCACATTGCTTAATAAACACAAAGTCAGAAAGCAAAGGATTTGAATCCTTGGAGACTGTTTTGCAATTATGAAATCTGAATCTGTTAATATACAATGAGCTTTAAATAAGTTTTAAGGTTAAAAATAATGATTTAAACTTACTTTCAATATTTATTTAAATTTTATCATAAAGTTAAATTTTTATTAATTTGTGTTAATTTCTATTCTAATTTCTAAGTTTCTATTCAAGCCTTATGTTATAATGTTTACATTCACCAAAACTTTGTACCATTTAAAACATATTTAGGCTTACTGCTTGTTAAGGAAATCAAACTTTCTTTAAAACTTTTAATTAGAAATGTTTTAATTTCCTTTATTTGAATTGACAGAGGAATGTTCTTTTTATTTAAATTTATAATAAGATGTTCTTTTCATTGAAATACTTGTTCTATTTGCATGTGTATTTTATATTTATATATGATCTATTCCAAGGGTGGGCAACCTTTTTTATAACATGGGCCAGAATAAATTTTACGTTTTTTCCACGGGCCATAGTAGTTAATTGACACCTTGTGACCTGTAAATTTTTACTTAGCAAATATGAAATAAATAAATAAAAAGAAATTAATTACTACAGTCGACCCCCCCTATAACACTGTTCACTTAGATTTTACAAATGCGTGTGCTGAACTGTGAACGGCTCACCTATTTGTAAAATCTAAGTGACTTTAAACACAATAAAAACAGCACTATGTAGTTGGATACGACAGACATTACATTTTCTAATTGCATAGCTTTTGCACATAGATTTTCTTGATGGATGATGCGATGAGATATAAATAATTTAGAAAAATTCTGTTCTCCCATTTTTTGTTTGAATAAGGAAATGACTCCCTTATTTTTTCCTGTCATTGCTGCCGCAACACTTCAGAAAATAATATTCAATTTAAACTAGACGAATTACATCGAAAAATATTTATTTATAATTTCTTCTAAACATCTCGCGGGCCGGATAGAAACTTTTCGCGGGCCGTAGTTGGCCCGCGGGCCGGGGGTTGCCCACCGTTGATCTATTCTATACTTTAAAAGTTTGTAATGGCTTTGTGGCCAAGGTTGACTTGAATGAGCCAAAAACATTTTCAATTAAAAGTTTTAAAGAAAGTTTGGTTTCCTTAACAATTAGCAAGACTAAATATGTTATAATATTTTTAAATGTTTATATATTTTAAGTATTTGAATGTTGTTCTAGAATTAGATGAAATATATTATAAATTTTAGCCCCTGGTTTGTGTAAGAACTACAATAAAATTAAAATAGCAAAAGCATTTTTGATTATTTCTTAGACTAGCTATATTAGCTTTAATTTCAATTTGAATGACAGAGATAAATATAACAGCTTTTACTAAAGTCTTTAGCTTGGCTAAGATGTGAACCAATTGTAAATAAATGTTTGCATGTAATTAATGCTAAAATTTACCTGTTAATCTGGTATTTATTACTACTATTCTTAAATTGAACATCATTCAAACTTTGAACTTTATGTTATCAATAATTCAATTTCTTTAATTTATTTTATATTGAATATCTTTGGTATTCTAGTTATTTGGTAACTGTAATTTTATATGCATTGCTGTAGTGTTAGCTTTCATGGATTTTTTTGTAAATGTTGTTGTTTCAAAAATATTATTTTATTTTCGTTCTTTTTTCGATTTTTATCACCAATTGGATAAGTAAAACAAATGGTGATTAAAGCTCTTTGACAATGCATATTGTACATTTTTTTACATTCTTTTGAAAAATAAAAAACTTTATAGAAATAAATCCTATTATAGTCTGTCTATAGAAAGAATCAACTTAAGATCATCACACATGATGTTGCTTCAGTTAAACAATCAGCACATTCCCTAATGATGTCAGCACTTTTCACTTAATATGTTGGGCAATGTGTGAATTTTATTTTATTTTCTCTCACTAGATGGAGAATGACTTTTCCATTAATTGTGTTAATTTTTTTAAATTATAGCATGTACAGTCGGGTCTGCATAAGTCATCATAGGTATAACTAGTTGTCAGTTAAGTAGTCAGTTTTCTGTGGTCCCGGTTGACTTACATAGGCATTAATATTAAAAAAACTTTGGTTTACTTGACATCGTTTAACTTGTAACCACTGGATAATCGACATACTTTTTCTGTCCCGCACTTGTTTAGATGTCTGATAAGTCAATTCCCTCCTAAAAAAATGAGTTTACACCACACAGCTTAATGTCACAGCAGAATCCATTTAGCATTTTCTCAACTTTTATTCATGCATTATTTGCAGTAACTGTTTCACATTTCTGTTAGAAATGAGTATCTGAAACCTAACAATGCTGCAGGAAAGATACAAACTTGTATCTGAGTTTGAATATAATAAAAATGCGCAAGCCAAATTTCCAAAACAAGAAAACCTTCCAAGAACAAAGTTGGTGGGAATTCTGAAGAAAAAAGAGGAAATTAAGAAACTTTTTCTTGGGTCTTTGTCGCAACTGTCTCAAAAATGCCAGAAAAAGTTGCTGTACAAAGATGTCATAGATGCTCTGGTATGTTTGCTAAAGCAAATTTGTTCATAGAATCTTCCTGTTTCAGGGCCGATACCGAAACAAAAAGCAATGAAAATCACTGAGGTACTTGGAGTAGAAACCAACTTTAGTGCCAGTGATTGATGGTCAGAGAGATACTTGCATGTACTGTACAAAGCACTACCATATTTTCCTAATTGTAGTTTTGTGGTTTTTTTTCCAACTTTGTTTTGGTCATCAAATAGGATAACTCAAGACATTTCCACTTCCCCTTGGAGTGCAGACTCGACTGTATTAACTGTAAAGAATCATGCATTTAACAACTACTATAACAAGCCAATCTTACGTAATTGTATTGTAGAAAAATAAATAAAAATTCAAATTTTATTTCTTTTCTGACTTATTATTCCAAATTCTATAACATTACATTAATAATGAGATAAAATTAAAGTTAAAAAAGGTAAAACAAACCAACTTTGCAAAGAAAAACATTTTAATTACTTAGGTATGTCCCCTAAATGCATTTCGCCAGTAATGTTGGCCTCTTCAGTAGGGTTAATTCGTACACAGCTCAAATTCCAACAATTATCCATCACAGGATTCCATTTCAAGTTACTACTTATATAGCTGACAAAAGTTTCCCAGCCATTTAGGGGACATACCTAAGTAATTAAAGTGTTTCTCTCTGCAAAGTTGGTTTGTTTTACCTTTTTTAACTTTATCTCATTATTAATGTAATGTTTTAGAATTTAAAAGTTGTTTATTCTCCGTAAGTCAGAAAAGATAGAAAATTTGAATTTTCATCTATTTTTCTACAATACATAAGATTGGAAAATTAAATAGTTTAAATAGTTTATTTTTTAAATATATTTACTATAACAAACTTTCTTGTATTCCAATACCAGAATGTGAAGCTTTCATAACACTGTTTATAATGACAGTTACATGTTTAACAAATGAGGAAAAATCTGGAAGTAACTTGCAAAAACTAAGCAATCAATGGCTGATGCTTATTGGTTCATACCCAAGTTAATTCTCTCCATAGACAGACTTTAGTATAAATTATTTCTTTATATTAATTAAATAAAAAAATAATAAATTTCAATTAAGAAATACAATAATTACCAATTGATAAGCCAGAATAAGTGATAACAATGAAATGGTTTTTCCAGTTCCTGATGGCATCTCCAAAACACCATGACCCTTTTACAAAAAAAAAAAAAAAAAAAAAAAAAAAGTTAAATAAATTTTAGTAATATATATATATGCATATATTTTTACATAAACTGCTTGAATTAACTTAATTAAATTCTGCAATAACGCTAAAATGCTTAAGGGTTGTCCATAAATGACGTCCACATTTAAAGGAGGGAAGAGATTGTGGCAAATCGGACATGGGGGAGTTGAGCTTCAGTGGACATGTTTTATTTCATAAAATTTTATACAGTTTATACATTTTATATTTATTTCAAAATTTCTTGCATGTTTTTTCTACTTATGGTATCTATCACTCATAAAGTGATAAAGGTTTTATGGGAAGTTGAGTTTTGTTGGACATCCAAACAGGAGAAGAGGTTACAGAAATTTAAACAAACCAGGATAAGGGGAGAGGGGTAGTAAAAATTTCAAGAAAAATGCAGATGTAATTTATGGACAGCCCCTTATATGCTTGTATTATTGATTAAAAGATATAAAAAAAATTTCATTAATTGAATCAAATCAGTTTGATTAATATAACAACAGTGTTCTTTGTTAGTCTGCAATTTGAAAAATTGTAGACCTATAAATTCCCACTGTTGTCTGTCTGCCTTTCCTTAATCTCAAGAATGAAATTAGATAGATGAAATTCGAGACCAGATATGAAAACCTTAGGGCAGGAGGCCCCAATTAATTATATATGAACTTCTGATGCAAACCAAAAGTTATGTTATTTCAATTCAAAAGCTTTCCCTTGAAAGCAGTTAATAGATGATAAGCACGACTCTATTGTTAAAAGAGAAGTATGATGTACAGGGGCAAGACACTACTAATTTGAAGTGGAGAGCATATATTTTAAATGAAATAAATTAAAAATATGATTAAAAATTGTAACCTGGCATTATGACAATGTCACAATAAATAATCACTTGTTCTAATCTTCTAAATTGTTGATATTTGAAAATTGGCAACTAATCCAAAAGTACTTTTACTTACTTTGTTCTTTTTTAAATTTCATTAAAGCAACTTTTATATGTATATTTTTTTTTAAGTTTTTCTTGAAGTAATTTTTTATTTACTGAATTTTTAACTTATTTATAAAAGTAAAAAAGTAAAATAATTGATAAAAGAAAACAAATTAACTACATATTATTTAAAATATCAAAATATTGTAATATTAATAATACTTTGATGTTTCAAATATTATCATTAACTAATTATTCATTATCAATAATATACGAGTAATAACAGTAACATATATATACACATATATATATATGTTACTGTGAAAGAGCAAAATTAGAGAATGTCGATATTCTCCAGTGAATGTCGACACATACAAAATACATCGGTGAAAAACTGAATATTTGGTTATATTATTATACATTAGAACAATTAGTCGCCAGTGTATGTAAACAAGCACAGATAAGCTTTGGTGGAGGTCAAAACGACACCTGAGAAGCTGATGTCGACAGAGAGGCAACAGTCTGTTGCCAAATCCTTTGTGGGTATCTGGTCGTTTCGTACATACACACAGTTGTTCACACAGTACATTCACACAGTTGTTTCGTACATACACTAAACGACTGTGTGAATGCTGACATTCACCGGAGAAACTTGACATTCGCCAAATATCTGTCATTCACAGTAACATATATATTAATATAAAGAAATACTTTATACTTTTATGTATTATGATAACATAATCTAATGATCAGGAAATTGCAAAAAAGAATACTTTAACCAACCTTTGCATCCAAACATCTTTTCAGTTCTAGCATATATGTATATTGCTCAGGATAAATATAATCATAAGGAAAGTAGACAAGCAATCCATCAATGTTAATCCTACAAAAAATGTTGTATTTTATCATTTTGCAATTAAACAAAAAAATTTACTAATAATCTTAATTTACTAGAACATGTATAAACAAGCATTAGCTAGTGCTCTTAGAATATGAGATACACTTTCTGGTAACAGTACATCTACATCAGGATATTACAAAGTCCAACACTGTTGCATGTAGCAGAGTAAAATAACAATCAATATACGAAATAATATGTTCTGATCTATATTGCCCACAAATAAAAGAGAAAAATACTACTAGTTATCTTATGAATTAAAAAATTTTTTTTTAAATAATTGTTTTAAAATTGTCAAAGACAACTGTGTAATGATAACTAATCTGATTTAGTAATCACTTGCAATTATTGAAAAATTTAATTAAAAAACAGTTAATTACAGTTTAAGTAACAGATAGTTACCTACAGTATAACTAGTTTAGGCTCTATTTCTAGATTAAAAATTTAATTTTGTATCAATTAACATTAATAAAGAAATATGGAGAAGGAAATTAATTGCCAAAGATATTCATTTTAGAATTTTATTTTATCACTATCTTTAAAGATAAGTAAAAGTGAAATACAGTATATATGAAGTACAACTGAAGTAAAACAATATGACAGACAATGCAAGAATTGGCACTGATGATCTAGAACAGAGTTAGTCAACTAGGATTTCCATGTTTTTCAGATAAAATAAAAAAGAAGATTTTCCATGTCAAATCAAATATTTTATTACATTTTATAGAACATCATTTACATTAACAAACATGCTATTTACTTTGTCTGACATTTCTCTCATGATTTAGCTACTCATAACAATTTTTCATCCTGTTTTGCAAATTGATAAAATTGCTTACAAGTGAAAGGAAAATTGTGTACAATTTGTAGTTCAATTTTGATCAGCTCTGGATGGCTCCTGTTTCTAATATCGGTTCATTTATTCTTCATGACTGAAAAACCCTTTCTACAAACGTATAAAATTGGAATGTTTGGAACACTTTTCTGAGAAAATAAGCACCACACATAAAACCAATATCCAGCAAGAAACTACAAAAGCAAACATTTTCACCCATGTTGAATAGTAATTATCAGGCTAAAAGACCTTTGAAATTCAAATGCAGCTGTTAAAATAAACAGTTTGAACAGAAGTACAGTAGAGCATCGATTATCCGAGACTCAATTGGGGACTCAGGTTGGTCGGATAACTGAAAAATCGGATAACCGAAAATAATGAAAAAAATACATTATTAGTATAGTACAGGGGTGGCCAACCTTTTCAGAAGGTGGGCCAAATTTCAGAAATAACATTTCCTGCCAGGCCATGCACCTAATTTTTTTTTTTTTTTTCAATTAAAGTAAACAAGCAAGTGTGCTACAGCTTCAACCACATCGTTGGTTCCCAGTAGGTGAGATCGTGGTCAAACATTTGCCTGGTTTAATGTAAAAAAACACAAAAAATAGGTATATTTATTTTTTTGAAGAAAATAAAACATAACCAAGAATCAAACATATTTATTAGACAATTTAAAAATATTTATAAGTGAGACATCTGACTTTGTTTTACAGAACTAAGTGCATCAAAATTGATCTCCACTGATGTCACTATACACAAACAGTTTTCCAAATGAACATCAGTAATTCGATCTCACTTGTGATTTGATGTACTGTACTTCATGCGACTAAAAAGCTGTTCACATGCATAAGTGTTTCCAAATAGCGAAACCATCGACAGAACATGTTTGTAAAACACAGGATATTTATCCTTGTCCAAATACGTTTCATAGAACTCTTCCAAATCAACTTGATGGAATTTCTCCAATGTTTCAGGGTTTACTTACTTATAGAATCGATATAGTAGACAGGCTACTTGGTTGAAGTAGTTTGAACTGTAATTATAAATATGTTAAATATGTATTTTAACGTCAATTGCAAAATCTCTCCAGATGCATTGGTAAAACGAAACCACAGAATAACACGGAACTTTGTGAAGCTGGACTGAAAGTAGTTATGGGTATGAGCCCGACAGCATTGCGAGCTTCCCGAAAACACCGAAGACCACAGAACATATATAGCTGAAGTCTCATATTAAATTTTATCATCACTTAGCGTCGGACAAAAAACTAAGTAACTTTGAGTGTCAAATAGCAGGATATTTGAAATAGCTAAAAATCTATGAATTTTTCCAAAAATGAGAGATATTTCAAATTTCTCTTAGCTATAATTTAAAAATACATGATTCGAATAACTCATGAGGTAATGTTCTTTTGGTGATATGTACAATAAAGTTAACATTTACGTTCATTTGACCTAGCTCTGCGGGCCGCAACATGACTCTCAGTGGGCCGCATGCAGCCCGCAGGCCTCGTGTTGGCCACCCCTGGTATAGTATATTAGTATATCCCATGTAATTAGTATATTAGTATATCGCTATAAACCAACTTTGCGTTGAATTTTCATTGATGTTAAGCCTAACAAATTCTTTAAAAAAATAATAATCATTGCTATTGTATCGTTAAAAATTAAACAAAAAACAACGTACCAGGAACCTGTTGCCAGTGTGCTTCTCAGTAAAAACAAAGCATTACAAACGTTTTTGAACTTATAAGTTCTTCTTCAGGTAACAGACATCTAAGCGAATGAATTCAAATTCAATTCAAATAAGAACACCATTAAGAATTCTATCGCACGTATCGAGGCGTCATTGACGCATGCGCCCTTTTGCTGGTTGTAAATTATCGTAAGTTCTTGTCTACGAGCACCTGCCATGCAGTTGGCAGGGTGATTTCGTCTTTGTTGTTAATACAATTGTCATCTTTTAGTGTAGCCATACATATGTACAGGGCCTCTAGCCATCTAAGGTGGTTTGTGTATGTTGTGTCACCCTGTCAACTGAATGGCAGGTGCTCGTAGACAACAACTTACGATAATTTACGACCAGCAAAGGGGCGCATGCGTCAATGATGCCATCGATACGTGCGATAGAATTCTTAATGGTGTTCTTATTTGAATTGAATTTGAATGGCATTCGCTTAGACGTCTGTTACCTGAAGAAGAACTTATAAGTTCAAAAACGTTTGTAACGCTTTGTTTTTACTGAGAAGCACACCAGCAACAGGTTCCTGGTACGTTGTTTTTTGTTTACTTTAACCCGGTGTAGTATATTGACAATCATTAAAAATTACTTTAAAATTATTTTATTGCTCACAAAACAACCACTCATAATTAGAAAATTAAGTCTCGTTTAAATACTGGCCTCCCTTCAATGTTCAAGCCAGTATTGCCAGCTAAAACACGCAAAAACTTAACAAAAATAATATTAAAGTAGCCAAGACATAGCCAAATATTGTAGTGCCACATCACTAGTGGACATTTGAAATTTGCCGACTAGAACGGTCGGTTAACCGATGTGACGGTTAATCGGGGATCGGATAATCAATGCTCTACTGTATTACTCAGGATAGATGATTACCATCCACATGTTAAAAGAAGGGTGATATGACAGGAAGAGAGAGTGTTGTAAGACTAAACATGGTAGAACAACTTTCATGAGGGAGAAGTAGTCTACTTTTCTAAGTCGATAACCACATTTTTTTTCTCACAGCTTTGTAAATTTCTAACTTCTAAATATTTCAGCTGTTCTTTGTGGGAATATATTAAATATTTAGAACAGTTAGAAATTTACAAAGCCATGAAAAAAAATATGGCTATCAACTTTAGAGAAGTAGACTCCCTGTGTGGAAGTCACTTTATGATGTTTAGTCTTACAATCCTCTAGCCCTAAATTTCCCATTATACATATCTAGTATACAGTGGAATTTAATTCATGATGCACTCATGAACATTAAAATCAATAGCCGACTTATAGAACTAATTAAACTCTCTCGTGACCATAATTATTTTGAAATAGCAAGAAAAGTTTTTACATGATTGGAAGGTATAAGTATGGGATCTAAAATAGGACCTAAATTAGTTGAATTGGTTATAATTAAATTTGACAAAATACTAAATAAAACTCCAGGTACAGTGTTATGTTAAGATATGTAGATGATTATTTAATAATTTATAACTCTCACGAAATCAATAGTAGCACAATTCTGAAAGCAGCAGATAATATAGATAAAAATACCAAGTTTGAGTTTGATATCGAATAAGATAGTGGGAATAAATTAAATTTCTTGGATATCACAATCCTAAATGAACCAACCAGATTCACAAACACCACTTTTGAAAAAACTTGTAATATTAAAAAAAAACAACAAATTTTCACTCAAACTGTCCAATGAAAACTGAAAAGAATGCATACATTATAGATTTAAAGAAAAATTTTAATAGAACTACATATGAACAAAATATAATACAAGGAGTAATAAAAGTTAGCCAAATATATTTATTAAATAATTACCCAAGTTTAACATTGAAAAAATGGTACAATCACTTCCTCTTTAATAGATACAATATGAAAAATATTAAACAAGAAGCAGTCTACATAAAATTACTTTATATGAAAAATATTTTAGAAAATATTCTGTTAAATACACATGAAGGAACACAAATCACCAAGAGGTAGTATGACAACAACTCTCGATGTGAGTAGGTCAGGGAATAGTAAATCTGTTGGCCACAAAGTGGTTTTTTTTAACACAGTGATTTTCAACTGGTATGCCACAAAAATTTTTAAGGTTATTAAATAAATTACTTTCAAAAGCATCCCAAAGAACTATAAGTGTACATGTCAAAATTAAAATCTCTTTAATTATATGAGTTTTCCATTGTTAAAATAAACATATACATAATGTAGTAAAATTATGTATTCATAAACAAAGTTATTCTTCTATAACACCAAATTATTTCATTTAAAATGAAATTTTCTTTAAATCAAAAATGTATGTATAATTGTCTATATTTTAATTATTTTAACTTAGAAATAGCAAGACATTGGGCAGGTTTCTAAAGACAATTATCATGACACTTTTAAATGCAAATTAATGTTAACTGCTTTTCTTATGTAAATGAAAATTATTAATTTAAATAACTATTGTTGTAACTTGCTGTTATTTTAAGGAATACTATTTTATTTAATTCATAAAAAGATATAAACAAAAAAAATTAGGTTAAGTGGCAAGTAATTTGGTGATAGGATGTTTATAAACACAACTTTAGATCATGTGATTTTTTCTGTATAATATGCTGCGAGATAAAAAAGTTGAAAAACACAACATGAAGTTCACTTTTAAAGACTAACAACCTATTACAATAGAATAAAACAACTATAATCTAGGCTAGGTATAAGTACCAATACATTAAGCAAACAATAGGGACTATTTTTTGCTTAATGTATTGGTGTGTAATATGTTCCATATCATGTTCGTGTACTTTTGTATTTAAGGAGATGATTGATTCAATACAATGCAAGATATTACTATTATGTTGTTTTATTATTATTTTTATGTTTAATTAATTCTGTACTTATACCCTAGCTCTTAATAATTTTAGTTACTGATGAGTGACCATAATATATAAGTCTGCCCAAAATGCATCTAGTTATGTATGTAATCAACCAAAATAAACAAAATTAAACTGCACGTTTTGGATCATTGAATTACTGTTAGTGTTCCTATACACCTGCAGATGCAGGATTACGGAATTCGGTTAATCTTTACCTACGTGGACTGTCATGGCCACACAATGGGGACCCACCTAACAAATTACCAATAATTTGGTAATTTATTAGAATAGGTTAGGTTAGAACGTTGGTCCCATTGCGCGGCCATGACAGTCCACGTAGGTAAAGATTATCCCAGAATTCTGAAGAATTTAACCTCTAATTAGTATTAACATGTACCTTAACATGTAATTTTAGTTTAAATTTTTGTAACATACTTTATATTGTTCTTAACTATGTATTTTGTTTTGAAAACAATTACTTTTTACTAACTATTTTTCACTATTTTTTCAAAAATACAGTGTGTGCCATTACTTTTGTCCATCACTGTATAACTTGAGTAAAAATTTATAATGGATATACAAATACTTTAAAGTATCATATTTAGTTTGATCAATTACGAATACCAAAACTTAATATTTGCTTATCATAGGAAGAAATAATAATAATTATTATTATTAAATTAATCTTACTTCATTTTAACTTTTCAAATCTGACAATCTCCTAAACATCTACACGTGCTTTCTTACGCCACCTGTTATCAGAAAAGCATATATTAAAATAAAAAATAAAAAAAAATTCTAACTGAATTTTTTTTATTTTTTATTTTAATTGTTCAAGAATATTTAAATGTAATCTAATATCATTACATAAACATATTGTTTAATAATATATACAATTTATTAATATTTAATAAGAATTTATGTTATTGAAATTATTTTTTAAATTAAGACTATTATTACTGGATAACAAAATTGATATCATTGTATTCTTTATTGATTGATGGATTAAATATACTCGTCATAGAATCACATTCGATTAGTATAATGAGAAAATTTAATTTAATTTCGTTTGATGATATAACAGTTTCAACAAAATGTTTGAACAGAAAATAATCAAATTCAAGAAAATAAAGATATCGAAAAGAATATATCTGAAAAGAATACATTTGAAATGCATATTGCTGGATCTGACTATGCAACAAGTTCGGGAAAATCTGACCCCATCTGTGACGGACAACAATTAAAATTCAAAGATAAAGACAAGAGCGCAGGAAATTTAACAGACATTAACAGGAAGACGTCATGCTTTGGAAGAATTCCATTAGGAAACGAACTTAGAATACTCAGTCTTATAAACGAGGATTCTGAAAAATTTTCTCCAGAAAAATTTATTGAAACAACTAGCATAGGTCTGTCGATTTCAAATATTGAAAATTTTCCTAATATTAATAAAACAATAGCTATATCTATTGATAAAAATCTGACTTTAAATAAATCCACGTCCAATTGTCAAGATGAAATTAATATTTCTGTCAATGAAAACAATTCAGAAAAACTTAAAGTTATGGATGTTTCTGCTGACAGACCTTCTGAATCAAAGTGCTCATCTCAGTCAATTCCAATTTGTTGTCGAAATCTCGCTAATGTTGATTTTGTTGATGTGATTCAATCTGATATGAAATTAAGAAAATTTAAATTGCCGTTTGAAACATTTCCTGGAGAAATATTAATACAAGATTCAAAATTAAAAGAACTAATAAAAGAAGAAACTAAAACAACAATGAAAGATCTTTTCACAGATTTTCACGATGAAAAAAAGATGATTGCGCTTTATCGTCCGCCTTCGTTGTGTCCATATCTGCAATTGCTGAATTTACATAAACCTAAATTATTTGAAAAAGAAAGAAATGTCTTGCAAATGCTTCACGAAAGCGTAATCAATCCAAGAGGCTGCACTAAACTCAGGGAAAATCTAAATTTCCCTTTGATATGTAAGAAGCATTTGGCTACTACAGCAATTAAAGACACTGATGAAAATAAAATTCTAGATAAAAGTTATTATAAATGCATCTGGGATTTGATTGTTGAAAACTGGAACAAGATCTGAAATTGGATTGATTGATAATTTGCAATATTTATTATTTAAAGAAGTGAAATAAATTATCAAAATTTTACTTTTGTCCATTTTATTGATGTCATTCATATTCGTTCATTTTTATCCTGCATTTCTGAGAGAAAAAACTAACATAACCATTTAATTAATATTAAAGATAAATTTATTTTATTATAATTAAAAGATTATTAGAGTTTTATAAAATACAGTATAACTGCAGGTAATTATCACAATTGATCAGTTTAAGTGTATTGCACCGGTACATACTGTATGTATACATATAAGTTACAACCTTATTGTATACAAAAATTTACAAACGCTTGGTCGTGTTTCCTAGACGTCAGTCTACTGCTCTGGGGGACCCAAAATTGAATGCAAGCGATCGAAAAACTCCCAGGAATTTCTTACAAGTTAGAGGTGGTCCGTCCCGACAGTGGTATAACTACATATGAATGACCTGTGCAACATTTCTAAAACGAACCCCCATTGGGCATTCTGTTTTTTTTTTTTTTTTTTTCGCAATACAGACTAATGTATATAAAATTATAGAGTGATAAGGGACTTTCCATAAATTACGTCCACATTTTTCTTGAAATTTTTACTCCTCCTCCTCCATTCTCCCAGTTTGTCCAAGTTTCCGTAACCCCTCTTTGGACGTCCAACAAGACTCAATGCCTCCAAAATCTTTATCACTTTATGAATAATTAAATGTATAAACTATAAAATTTAATGAAATAAAACGGACGTCCATTGAAGTTCAACCCCTCCCCACCCCTTGTCTTTGTCCAACTTGTCATAACCACCTTCCTCCCTTCCGGTATGGATGTCATTTAAGGAGAGTCCCTAATTTATTCATTTTGAAAATAGTAAAGTATATTAGTGCATTGTACGTCTATTTACTGTGCCTACTAAATTTTTTATAGACTCACGTCAGTAAGCGCAGTAAATTTATCCCCTGCCTTGGACAAATCCAGTTCTCACTTCTGAATTTTCGATGGAAAGTAATGCTAAAGCACTATGTCTTTCTTCGTCTATTGAACTCCTCAATTAGTTTTTTCTTCACAGTTTTGGCTATTATGGCTAGTGTGACAGGCCGAACTATCTCTTCTCTTCTCCCCTCCCCCTTCGAAACCTACCTCTTTCTTCTTTTCCACACTCTCTACTTCATTCCAACTGGCTAAGTCAGAAATGACAGCCAGCTCCACTTTACTCTCATGTCAGTACTATTGCACAGATTGCACAAATAGTAATTACGCCTCTGTGTCCCGAATATGTCCAACCTACAACCCAGCCGGTCTATTATGAATCTGGCCGAATCTACGAGGGACCGGAAAAAAAGGTGTTTTTAGTGTCTGTAGGGAAAGAGTTTTTAAAAATTACAAACAATAAATTTTCACAAAGTTCGGTTTATTGCAAAAACTAATAAAATTCATACCGAAATATATTTTTATGAAGGAAAATCTATCAAAATTCAAAAAAAAAAAAAAAATTCTCCATCGTATACTAAAATTAATAAAACTTAGCATCTCTACAATTTTGGTACTTTGAAACCGTGCTAGTAGTTATTAGTAGTAATTCAAACACAAATTATTATTGTATTTATTTTCAGGCACTTGGCAATTTTTATCATCAAATTTTATTTAGTTGATACGTGTTGATATTATTTACACACGTTTCGGGCATTTATTGACCCTCCTCAGCCAACTGAAAACAAAAGTTCATAAGTTACAACACTATAAAATTATAAACAACAAACATATTAGGTATTGTTTTTTAAAAACATACCTTTTTAATTTACAGGTTATCAAGATATTAAAACCACAAATTTCCATCGCCTGTTTACTTGTTGTTATGGAATTACAAAAACTTCTTGGCTCTTAACACACTTTAATCTAAGAAACATACGGTTTCGTATTATCTAAAATATTTTAAAAACTTTTTTATATGGATTTTCTCTTATACATTTACATGATAACAATACAATGAAGTACGTACCTAATTATCTGTTTTTCACTGTTATAAAATTTAAACAATCTCAAATTTTTCTTATACATTTACAATTAATTTTACAACAATACTAAAATTGACATATTTGTCTTTCATCAAAATCATGCAATTCCCTCTTTTTACAAACTCATTGGGATGACCTCTCCTCCCCCTTTTTTGCATGAATTGCATGATTTTGATGAAAGACAAATATGTCAATTTTAGTATTGTTGTAAAATTAATTGTAAATGTATAAGAAAAATTTGAGATTGTTTAAATTTTATAACAGTGAAAAACAGATAATTAGGTACGTACTTCATTGTATTGTTATCATGTAAATGTATAAGAGAAAATCCATATAAAAAAAGTTTTTAAAATATTTTAGATAATACGAAACCGTATGTTTCTTAGATTAAAGTGTCTTAAGGGCCAAGAAGTTTTTGTAATTCCATAACAACAAGTAAACATAGGCGATGGAAATTTGTGGTTTTAATAACTTGATAACCTGTAAATTAAAAAGGTATGTTTTTAAAAAACAATACCTAATATGTTTGTTGTTTATAATTTTATAGTGTTGTAACTTATGAACTTTTGTTTTTAGTTGGCTGAGGAGGGGCAATAAATGCCCGAAACGTGTGTAAATAATATCAACACGTATCAACTAAATAAAATTTGATGATAAAAATTGCCAAGTGCCTGAAAATAAATACAATAATAATTTGTGTTTGAATTACTACTATCTCTACAATTGTTATTTACATTGTAAATATTATATAAGGATTGCCCAATTGAAGAGTAGACATGTATCATATTTCATCATGCAAAGTAACGATTGGTGGCTACCTTACGGATGTGTAAGCTTAACATAGGCGAAGCGCGAGCTGCATAGATATTTGGCGGGAATTAAGGACTTTAAACTATTTTAAACTACTATAATCTGGCTATCCTTGTAGTATATAGTCCTTGGGCGGGAATAGATTTTATCTCCAGTAATTGGCAGATTAATGTTAAGTTCATTTCGATGCAAGCGTCCAGAATCGAACAACGGGTGGGAGTTTGGTTTTTAGTGGCTAAGGGGAATTTAAGTGCCGACATCTATACATACATACATACATACATACATACATACATACATACATACATACATACAAGAAAGACTTCGGCCGTACACGAGGTGTTTATCCGACGGAAAAGAGGGTAAGGGAAAGGGGAGGGAAAGGAGGAGAGAGAGGAGCAGTGGCGTACCGTGAGTGTCAGCCGCCCGGGGCGGAGGAAAATTTCGGCCCCCTTATTTAGGTATTTCAATTTAAAAGAACAAAATTCAGTTTTGTCACAGAACAAGCAATGAAAAATTCGGTGGTAGTGCAGCGACCTGTTTAAAATAGTTCTATTGGATATTAGTGGTGAATATGAACGCGAATGAATCGTACAAGCAAAAAAAAAGATCAATAGGTTTCGCAGGATTTCCTCCGATAAGAAAATTACTAGTTCACCAGGACGGCGAACCGATTCCCGGACTGTCCGGACGATAGCATAGTTTAGGATGTTTCAAATTTTTACAAGATGTTATTATTATTTATTGTGAAATTTTGCCGCCCCCTAAAAAGTGCCGCCCGGGGCGGGCCGCCCCTGCCGCCCCCACTACGGTACGCCACTGGAGAGGAGATAGATAATAGAAAAAGATAGGATCCCTCTGAACGGCGTACGTTCAGAGGGATCCTACCCCCGAAGGGTCTAAAAGAAAACCTGAGTATAGTGAACACCAATGATTGAGTGCCGCCACGAAAGCTAAGTGTAGAAGTTAGTGCCAAGTGGCTCTCAGTAGGAAGACTTATATCTACTTAATACTAATGAAACTAAACATGAAATATTCAGATGAAATAGCCGACATCTATAGTCGAATGAAGCACGTTTATGGTGAAAATTGTTTAGGATGAACAGCACATGTGGTAATTGGTACAACAGTTACAGATAAGGCTGACAGTCAATTTAGGATAAATCGAGACCAGGTCAGGCACAGACCGTAATCTTCGCTGCATCAATCGTCAATGTGGACGACATGATCAGAAGTGACACTACAACTTTCACATTTTTGGATCTCACGAAAGTGTGGTGATACACCAGTTGTTTTTTTTTATATACTTATATTTTTGTATTAAGCCTAGGATTAAGTTCTCTCGATCTTTTGTTTAACCCTTCCTCGTACTTCCTAACGGTTCTGTCCCCTGCTGGTGGTGAAACATTTCTATGAACTACACTGAAAAACAAGGGTGTGGAGGCAGGCCCCGAGGCAAGGAGAGAAAAGGGGGAGACTCTTTCGAGCTAGCGTTGGGAGAGGACGGACAGGCGAGGAGATCCTGGTGGCCGTAACGAAGGAAAAAGGAGCGATAGGGGGACAAAGAGAGGAGACATCACAGGAAGGACGGAAGATCATCAGAGTGCATTTTCATCGATGTGAGTGGACTCTAAAGAAAAAGAAGAAACCCGGGTACCCCACCAGCAAACTTTCCTTTATTTCTCTTATTCTTAATATTAATATTTTCCCTAATTCTACTGTCTCATTTAGTATATAGATTAGGTTAAGTTAGGCTAAGATAGGTTAAGCACAGATTAAAATTGTCGCGAGGTATTGTTGCACTCTCTTTCCGATATCATTATATGTTACGCGAGTTATATGCATCGGAGTTGGGACCCCTGAATTATTTGTATACTAGCACGAAGAACAATAAAACTATTGTTGTAGACGACTTTCTTTGTGTTGTCCATCCACGTGCTCTCCACAAAAGCTTTGCGAGGGAAAAGATTCATGTCGGACTTATGAGATGTAAGATATGGTCGAAGAATTTTGTTACCAGCAGCGACTAGAATTCTAAGCAAGGAGCATTGATTTGCTTATGATACGCTGGGATCTTTGCCTAAACAAACATGGAGATTTCTTTTAGATTCGCAATAAATGTTTACTAGCTCTGACATGCGTCCACTTTTTACTTGGGCAACCCTTATATATGTTTTAATTCAATGAAATTTTGTTAAATAATAATAATGTACCTCGTAAAAACACTAAAATATTCAGATGAAATTGACAAAAATGCTTCATATTAATGTTACTGTAATGTTATTACGTAAGTGAAGAAATAATTATTCTTTCATTTCATAATTAAAGAAAATAAATTTCAAACTGGTGATTTAAGGAATTTGTCGGGGAGTTGTCCGTTCCAAATATTCCAGGCCCAGGCTGGATGGCCGAGCGGTCAAGGTGGCAGCCTACCGCTCTGGGGGACCCGGGATCGAATCCGGACGGGTCAAAGAATCCCTAGGAATTTTTCGGGGGTGGTCCGTTCGGATATGTCGGGCCCCGTCCCTCACTACCCGGTCGCCCCATTGTGGGCCTGGCCGAACCCTTAATGGGCCTGCCTTAAGAGGCCCTCTTAGTGCCCACAGGGCGGAAAGAGTATATAAAAAAAAAATTATGCCAGGCCCAGTAGCGGATCCAGAAATACCCGAAAGAAAGCTAACTCAAAAATTAAAATACTAATTGGATTTTGAGAATAATTAATAAATACACGTGTATTGTATTACCAATAATCCGATAATTCAGATTTGCCATCAAAAGTGTTTTTAAGAACAAAGTTTTGAAGCTCGAACAAACAAATTTTAACTTTTTTTCTTTTGTGTGAATCAACGGGGAGGGTTTAAAGTCCTGTAGCCCGCCCCTGGGATTCGCCACTGGTCGGGTCCTTCACTACCCAATCGCCCAATTGCTCACAATGATCAACATCGTGGGTTCGGCCAGGCAATGGACGGACCCCACGATAAGCTTGATTTAAAAAAGAAAAAGTTAATAATTAAATTAATAATTTATTATTATTATTGTGAAATAATAGATTATTATTTTGTTATAAGTGTTATTTATATATTAGTATTTATTAATAATAATGATAAGGTGTCATGATAATGCTGGAGCTATTATGCTGTTATACTAATGTATAAATGAATAATTTTATTTTTAAAAAATGTTTAAATATTTATTGCAATGTACAGAGGTCGAATTTAAACATTTGTTCGAACCTATTGATCAGTAAGTTTTGCTTAGTACTGTTTTAATTTTGATGTCAAAGCTAAATTATTCTTTTTCTGCATTGCTATTTATACTTTACTTGAATTTAATTATATTTCTTGATTGTTTAGAAACTACATGGAATGGTCAATGTCATAAAGACGTGTGCACGGGCTCTAAAATGAAATCTGTGGATTTTGAAGTCTTCGGTCGAGTGCAAGGTGAATAGAANAGTTCCTCTCTTATTTCCAACTCTTAACATATCTAACCTAACTTAATCAACTAGTTCCCAAGATTTCTTTGACCTACTGTACCTCTCTTAAATGGTGCATCCAGGTTCCTGATTTTCTAGGTTCTTTTATTAACTCTTGTCAATATGACTTAATGATTTAAGATGATTTTTTTTAAGTTTATTTCTTACATCACACAGATTGTCTGCATCTTATAGGAAGATGCAAGCAGTTAATTTTTTTTTTTCTTAACATTTGGATCTTTATTCCATAACTGGGCATCATCCTAAAAAAATGTTCATTTTAATCTAATCAGAATGCTTAGCTCAAAGAAATCTGTTAATCTGTTTTTTTTCCTCATCTTACATTTATCTTATTTGTAACAAATAAATCTTACTTATTATCCACTTACAAATATGATCCAAATATTGAAACTGTTAATCTTTATATCTAGCTAATCCTGAAATCTAATCTCCATTATTTGACAACTTGCCTAAATTTCATGACCTCTGTTTTGACCCTACTAATCTTTAAATTCACATACTGTAACCTATCACTAACCTTTTCTAGTTCTTCAAATTTTCTGTATATTTATTTGAGATGGTATTATCTGCAAATAACATAAACCATGGTTCTCTACTCTCTGCAATAAATTGCTTAATATTTATGTAAAAAGGTGCAGACTTAAAGTTGATTCTTTATGAATTCTTATTCCTGCTCTACTATGTTAAGACATTGAAGGATGATATAAAAATATCATCCTTCAATGTCTTAACATCCTGTTATATATCTTCAGGTGGTGAAATTTTGGTTGTTAGAGCAAATAAAAATTTAGTGCTGGCAACTGAAAATTTACTCTTTTTATATGAGTCTATTTGGCAGCCTTTGCATTTTTTTAGAAATATTTTTATTGCAATACATGAGGCTGAGCAGAAATTCAAAGTGCATCATACTTTACTCTTCTATTGATTTTGAAATTTATCTCAAAATTTTAATGTTCAAATACTTTCGTTTATGCAATTAATCCTGAAGATTTTGTTTGTATATATGTTAGGCTCTGAGGGATAAAATTGACCACAATATGTTCTGACTTCTCAGATCCAGGAACAACACTAATTTCATGTCATGGTACTTTCAAAAATGTGCATATGTCTTATTAAAAGAATATCTGAAAAGAATACATGAATTTTGCTTTGTGGTTCTAATGAATAACCACAAACTAGTAAGACCACAAAATGAAATGTGTATAGATATTCTTTTAATAATCAACCAAAACACAATCTTTTATTTTACTTATTAAAGAAATTAAAACATTCATTAATGTCAAAGCTTAAAGAAAAGATGAAACTTAAAAAATAAGAGCAAGGTTATATTTTTATTAAAACATTAAGTAATAAGATATAACAGAAATAAACTATAAAAGAAAATCAGGAACATCTTTCTATGCCAGTACTCTTACTTTTCAAGATTAAAGAATTGTTTGAATGTAAAAATTATAACTTGAAAAATAGGTCAATCAATTTATCTGTGAAATAAGAAATTTTAACATAAATTTAAACTGTATTATAAATAATATATTATGATTTGGAGTCAGTCCATTTTTACCGGCTTCAACTCTGACTCCAGTAACTCAAGAATTATCTTTGACTTAGACTCCACAGTCCTAATCATAATTATTCAAAAAAAGATGACAACAGAGTACAGTATTTTCTTCATCAGAGGTTCATTTATTATCTCTTCTGATGTACTATTAGCCCCATTGTGGGCCTGGCCGAACCCTTAATGGGCCTGCCTTAAGAGGCCCTCTTAGTGCCCACAGGGCGGAAAGAGTATATAAAAAAAAAATTATGCCAGGCCCAGTAGCGGATCCAGAAATACCCGAAAGAAAGCTAACTCAAAAATTAAAATACTAATTGGATTTTGAGAATAATTAATAAATACACGTGTATTGTATTACCAATAATCCGATAATTCAGATTTGCCATCAAAAGTGTTTTTAAGAACAAAGTTTTGAAGCTCGAACAAACAAATTTTAACTTTTTTTCTTTTGTGTGAATCAACGGGGAGGGTTTAAAGTCCTGTAGCCCGCCCCTGGGATTCGCCACTGGTCGGGTCCTTCACTACCCAATCGCCCAATTGCTCACAATGATCAACATCGTGGGTTCGGCCAGGCAATGGACGGACCCCACGATAAGCTTGATTTAAAAAAGAAAAAGTTAATAATTAAATTAATAATTTATTATTATTATTGTGAAATAATAGATTATTATTTTGTTATAAGTGTTATTTATATATTAGTATTTATTAATAATAATGATAAGGTGTCATGATAATGCTGGAGCTATTATGCTGTTATACTAATGTATAAATGAATAATTTTATTTTTAAAAAATGTTTAAATATTTATTGCAATGTACAGAGGTCGAATTTAAACATTTGTTCGAACCTATTGATCAGTAAGTTTTGCTTAGTACTGTTTTAATTTTGATGTCAAAGCTAAATTATTCTTTTTCTGCATTGCTATTTATACTTTACTTGAATTTAATTATATTTCTTGATTGTTTAGAAACTACATGGAATGGTCAATGTCATAAAGACGTGTGCACGGGCTCTAAAATGAAATCTGTGGATTTTGAAGTCTTCGGTCGAGTGCAAGGTGAATAGAAACTACTTTTAATTTAGAAACTAACCAGTTGTTCTATATTTACCTTTTGCCTCACGTTATTTGCTTAGTTTATACTCACTAAAAGCAATACGATAAAATTTTTATATAGAGTTATATATATATTTTTGAATACAAAAAGATGTTTTGCGAATAGTCAAAAAAGTAAAATCTTAACTTTGAAAGTTTAATTTATAAATACTAATAGTTGCAGTTAGCATATTACAAATGATTCTACCGTAGACAGTACGTGTTTAGAATATGTGAATTATAGCGGAATTACAATTGTAAATATAAACGAAATTATAACTAGTCTGATCGTAATATTTACAATTTAGGGACACATTTCAGAATAAGTGGAAATGGGGTATAAAACTGATTGAACTTTGGTTATTTTTAAAAATTTAATTATTTATTGATCTATAAATTTGTATTATATTGATGTGTTAATAAAATTNAACAAAATAAATGTATTGAAAAATATAAAAACAATAAAAAATTATACTTCAGAAGTTAATTTAGTATCAAAAACGTAAAATATTTCAGTAGCCCAAGACATAGCCAAAGATTGCAGCGCCACAGCACTGGCGAAAATTTAAATTTGCCGACTGGAATTCTTTCAGATAATCGAGCTCTGCTGTACATATATACAGTCTTGCATTTTTATTAGCCATGTTTTTTTCCGTTTGTGAGAGTTAAAGAATCTGTCTAATGTCGATTCCTTTTCTCTTCATGATTTTTTAAGAGTAATTGTAGAGATCAATGAACGTATTAACCTTCAACTTGGTTTGGATGCCATTCTAAGACCGTTGTTTTGACGTCCTCCCACTTCTTCAAAAGATCTTTAATAGCAGATATCGTCATTAATCCTCTTTTTCAGAAGAAAACATATCTCGACGAGTTTCTTGGTGTTCTTCATTCAAGAGTTCTTGGCGTTCTTCTGTCATCAGATCCGTTTCAGGTTCCATTATGAGCTGTTCAATGTTCTTTATTTCTCAGATGTGATTTTTATTACCCCTTTAGCTGCTTGAGTCTTCTTAATTATACAGTATCTTTCTTAGATAAGATTGAACTGCGGCTTACTGTAGACCTGTTCAAGCCATACTACCCAGCAACATCAGACATCATCTGCTCACTCTCTAATTTTGCTATTATACTCTCACCTTTCGAAAATAAAAGCTGACGCAAAACTTAACGATTGCCCGCCCGACAACCTCGCAAATATTATAAAAAAAATTTGTTTCTGTCAGAAAAATAAAAGGCTGGAATTACAAGGGAAAGTTTCAAAAAGTTCGGAGGAATACTATCCGATTAGTATATATCAGTTTCAGCATCGATGTCGACGTCTCCCGCTCTCCGAAAAGTTTCGAATTGTAGCCCGAAGACAAGGGAAGACCAATCGTATTCATTATTTTGCGTCGCTTCTTCTTGTGTGTGTTCTGTGAGGTATTCGTTCTCCGAACATAAAAATCTTTCGCGAAAGTGTTCGTTATCCGATTTGTTCGTATTCCAAACTGTTCGTTAACCGATCACCCACTGTACTCTCTTTTGTTAGACCAACGGGCGAGAAGTAGACAAACAAAACGAAATTAAATAAACCAAAAATACAATAAGTTTATTTACTCGCCCGGTTGATGCAGGTTACAAAGGATACCAGCTTAACCATATCCACCGAATAAAACACACACTTAATAAACCACCGAATAATATAATACGCGACAGGAAAGTGCGCGTGTAGTTCCTGTCCGGCCCGATCGACTAATTCCTTAAACTACGTAAATTATGCTAGTTTCTTATTTCTAGATATTAGTACAGGTAGCCCTCGGTTTACGCCGATTCACAATAATGCCGCTGCACAATTCGCGATTTTGCTGTGTAATTCCCCGATTTTCNAAATGAGATTGAGTTATATCATTTGGGCTTTCCAATCTAATGTACTACCATCCAGTTCCTCTCTTATTTCCAACTCTTAACATATCTAACCTAACTTAATCAACTAGTTCCCAAGATTTCTTTGACCTACTGTACCTCTCTTAAATGGTGCATCCAGGTTCCTGATTTTCTAGGTTCTTTTATTAACTCTTGTCAATATGACTTAATGATTTAAGATGATTTTTTTTAAGTTTATTTCTTACATCACACAGATTGTCTGCATCTTATAGGAAGATGCAAGCAGTTAATTTTTTTTTTTCTTAACATTTGGATCTTTATTCCATAACTGGGCATCATCCTAAAAAAATGTTCATTTTAATCTAATCAGAATGCTTAGCTCAAAGAAATCTGTTAATCTGTTTTTTTTCCTCATCTTACGTTTATCTTATTTGTAACAAATAAATCTTACTTATTATCCACTTACAAATATGATCCAAATATTGAAACTGTTAATCTTTATATCTAGCTAATCCTGAAATCTAATCTCCATTATTTGACAACTTGC